GATTGTGAAGATTTCCCTTTTCGTGTATAAATGCCCGGCATTACGCAACCACGTTCCAGGGTGAGCCGGCTGAAGTTCCGTTGACCACGGTAGAGGGCCAAATCAAAGTGGTCGTCATTATGTTAAAAACGAACTTTTTTTGGTTTTCAATTATTTTGTAGAATATACCGTATATTTCAACATATTAGTTGGCCGTGATTCTCTAGTGCACCCTACTATAATTTTTACCACGTCGAGATGAGTCATCTCGGGGTGCTTAACTATAGGAATCCCCTTAGGGCGAAAACTGTGTTCTGCCACCTTAACCGGTTTTCAATTATGAACTTTGACCAATGGTCAAAGGTGAAGGACGCTACATAATCCGCGGAAGGTCACTTTGTTGCGTGGGCGCTGACCTCTACAAAAACCGATCTACTAAAATCGTGTTATTTGATGGTCAAAGGTAAAAGACCTGACTTGACCCCCGGAAGGCAAACTTAAAGTAGACATGTTAATTGTTGTGACATGGCCGGTTGACGATTTAGAATTCATGGACACAACAGTCCATTGGCGAAGAACTTCGTCTATGCACAGACGAAAAAATAAGCAAATAAGCAAAAAATGTAAGTTGTTAACTTGAGTGCAGCGTCACACTGTCCTTGTCATGTTTTCATGTTTTGATGAATAAAAAAAATAAGCAAACAAAACTGTTCTGCCGTCAAAGATACAGAACACATTCTGCCCCGAAATCACAACTTTGTAGGCGGAACAAATAAAGTAAATATATTGATATAAGAAGTAAGATTCCTAGTCGTGAAAAACAATTTTACAATGAATCAATTATTTATTTATTTATTTCATCTTAAGACGGCTGGGTAGCCCCAATTCAGCTTGTAGCAGCTGTTTTCCAAGGGGGCCCAGCAAAATTACACAAGACATTGTAACATACAGTGAGACAACATACAGTAAACATAAAAGTCCGATTCGTCAAAACAGAGTCGTAGTCCTGTACTCAAAGTCAAGTTCAAAAGCCCGAAAATCAAGGAATGGACAATAAAATGTCTTTACGCCATTAGCGGTTTGAAATGCATGACGGGATTTATGGAGATAAACAAACCGAGTTGAAACCCGGAATTCTACTCAGCAATGGCGAGTTCCGTCATGCTCAAGTCAAAATAGTTCACTCACCTTGTTTCTTGTTGTGGCGATGTCTTGCCTGATTTTTGCGGTGTGCAGTAAGCGGTGAACAATGACAACTGTTCCATGAACGTTGTGACACCGCGCCAGTGCCCTGTTGTACAGAGCAGTAGCTCTGGTCAAGTTTCTAGTGTTCCCAGTTTCTGTTCCTCTTTTCAGGTACACGTCACCGATACTCTTGATCGCTTCTGTTTCTAACATGCTGTTGTCGTTTACTATCGCCTCTACCATCACCTGTGCGTATCCAACCAGCAAAGAGTCCGTGTTTCCTCCGGTAGCCAGTCTCTTGTCCAGATCTTGGAACTTTGCCGCTACCTTTGCTGGTGTAGTCGTCTCCTTGTCTTTAGTTGGCTGTTCCTTACCCTGTGACGACAGCCCTTGTACAAGCCTCTCCGTGTAGTGGTAGCGATGTTCTATACCATCTGCCTGTTCTTCATAGTAACACCGTACCATAGCAGCCAGATAAAGAGCCAAGGCCGTGTTGAACTTCCCCACGTCCTTCCCGAGTCTTCCCTTCTCCACGTTCACGTCGCCCAGAGTTTTGAGCAGCTCCACTTCCGCCAGCCTGTCCGTGTCGGCCATGGCGTCCACCAGGGCACGGAGGTAGCCTGTCTCCGCCCGGGCTAGTCCGTACCTCCTGCCCTTCTCGTCCGCCTCACGGAGTTTCTCACACACCCGCAACATGGCGACTTTCTGCTTAGAAATTGTCTGTGAAAGTCTTTACCTTCACCGTTCTCTGTATATACTTACTTGTACTTGTTGAGGACTCCTAATTATCTTTGTGCACGTGACTAAACAAACAGGTCCGGTCAGTTTTGTGTCGCTGTCGTCACTTCCGGGCACTGTCATCGTCAGTATTTAGATTGATGACCTACTAAGAACAAGTAAACGGAAGATTATATTCACTGTTGGCGAATTAAGGGCAGTGGGTTTTTTTTTTGGGGGGGGGGTTCTTTTTGGTTTTGGGTCTTTTGGGAGGGATATGTTTTGCGGGGGCAGGGGGTATTATTTGCGGGGGGGGGGTATTTGAGTAGTATTGGAGTGTTTCATTTTTGGGAGGGTATTGGGCATTTTATATGCTGGTATCCTGGGGCTATGGGTGGTCTTGGGAGGTTTATTTGGTGGAGGGTATATTCGGGAGAAAGATGGGGGGGGGGGGTCGAATAACATCAATCCTCAATTCTAGTAGGATTCCAATTTGACTAAGATAGACTAATGTACGGTGAGACCGATTCCTGTCTTGGTTTGATCCCATATTTTAAAGTCTTATAATCTAACTTGGTCTATTACACACGTTGCCATCTATAACCCTGCTGTTGTCTGAGAAAATTGGACAAAACGGGAACCAACAGGAAATCCTGAAAGGTCAGGCCAAAGGTCAAGGTCAAACAAAAGAGACGGTTCACAGCAGGAGACAGAAGGAGAAGAACAAGTCCTCTCGGGCGAATCACAACCGGCGAGCCATGGTGGATAGAAAGATGGCCCGGGGGATGGGCCCACTCACATAAACTCTTTTGAAGAACAACACATTTGTCTTTCAAATGGCAAAGTTCTTTATTCAGGATCACTTGTATAGCAAGAGCCAACATCTAGATGACTGTCATGGCGGACAGAAAGATGGCCCGGGGGATGGGCCCACTCACGTAAACTCATCTTAAGAACAACACATTGGCCTTTCAAACGGCAAAGTTCTTTACTCACAACCACTTGTTTGACAAGAGCCGACGTTTCGATGACTGTTGTCTTCATCAGAGCAATTATGACTGGTTTCTTCAAGGAGGTTGAAACCTTGGTTTACTGTGCACTGAAGGTCAGTGAGGTATAACTGGTTCCTAGTGTACTGAAGCTGGGTGTCACTGCTAACTATGCAGTCCCAAACTGTGTTAGCAGTAACACCTGGCTGATCAAAACATTCGCTCTTGTTATACAAGTGGTTGTGAATAAAAAAACGTTGCTATTCACCAACTTGATGAGATTTTTCATGTCTTTTTTGTCTTAATGTTTCACACACTGAAGTAGCCTTTTGGCCACCAACCCAAATTAATCTCTTCTCACTCTTGCCATATTCAGTTTTTCTTGTTTATATGCAAACATATCTAAGAATATGGCAATGATACACCAGCACTAATTATAAGCAAAAGGTCTTGTAAGTGATGAGAGTTTAAAAAGATATTGTCTTTGTCAAATTGATGCAATGTTGTTCTGAAAAAAAGGCCAGTATTACTTTTAGAGAGACTTATGCTCTCTACTTCTCTGGATGTGGAACCAGTGACACTATAGCTGAATCTTGTGCCTACATGTCAACCACTGCAATGTGTACAAATGGATACATGTGAGGAGATGTAAGAAAACAGTGCCAATAGGACTATGTTATTCTGGATAAATAGTGACAGATTGCATAACTTAACATAATTTTTCAGGATGAATACACGACTGTCAAGAATGTCTTCAGTTTGCAATTGTGATTGTACAACGTTCATACAATATTGGTGACACTAAACACAAATTGTGACGTATACTCTACGTTAGTTTACCTAACATTGTGCTTTAAAACCTGTAAGGATATTGTAAAGAAGGGAAACCCTTCACTTTATTGTTGTTGTTGCTTTTACATTTTGTTCATAAAGTAAAAGGCAAACTTAACATCAAAAGACGTTTAAGGCCTCTTGAAGATTAATGTGGAAAAGTATCTTTTGCAAATTAATTTTTGATTTGATTTATTGAAATTGCAACAGTGCAATACACGCGGAACATAGGCAGCTGTTGCTGGTGTTATGTCCCACACATAGAAACGTATACTGGACAGACAATACTCATTTTCACTTGAGTCTAGTGGGGAAAGTCGTGTTAAGTGCCTTTCCCAAGGGCACAAGATCGGTGGCATGTCGGGATTCGAACCCGAGACCTCTTGATTCAGAGTCGCGAACACTGCAGTTGCGCCACACGACCCCACTGCAAAATTAGAAAAGTACTTGGAGATGGAATCCTCCACCCTCCTTGCCTTTTCCTTTTTGCATACACGCGTACTTGTAATCTGCAATTTGAGAGATCTTCCCAAAGACTCATCCCAAAACACAAGGCCATGATACAGAAAAACCCTTAAAGATCCATTAATGACTATAACCCTAGGACTAGTCCTGTCCACCATGTTGATAATCCGCAACTTTCATCCACCATAACTTCTGTTTATTCATTCATTCATTCATTCACTCACTCACTCACTCTCACTCACTCACTCTCCTCACTCACTCACTCTCACTCATTCACTCACTCACACTCACTCTCACTACTCATTCACTCACTCACTCTCACCCACTCACTCTCTCATTCACTGTCACTCATTCACTCACTCATTCACACATTCACTCATTTACTCACTCACCCATTCACTCATTCACTCACTCATTCACTCACTCACTCACTCACTCACTCACTCACTCACTCACTCACTCATTTCATTGAGCTTACTCGGAACTCATATACACGTATGACTTTGTTTTCTTTATTCATTGTCGTGCCAATCCCTGATTCTAGATATAGAGCATAAAAGAATTGTCCAAATGGCTGCCTACTTACAGCGAGTGCAAGAAATTCCACCAAAGACTACAAGTATATCTATTAGTCTCCCTACGCTATACATAGTCCTGCAAAGTACATTGATACATTAAATACTTGAAAAGTACATTAATACATGTAATAGAAGCTGCCATACTTACACAGTAAGCAATTTGTGACCAATATGGCTATATAATGACATGATATGGCAAGACAGATTGGAGATGAGCAGTAGAATTTCCATAGTTAGCTAATCCCGAGTGACGATTTGGGATAACTACTAACGGCTTTACTCTACTCATGGAGGGCACTTTTACATGATCTAATGTTGTTCAGTACTGTTGCCATGTTGGGATGTGATGTGTTGTCCCCATAGACAACTTTCATCATATTCAATGATTGTTGGTAATAGCTGATGGCTTTACTGTGATCACCGAGTTTGTGCCAATATGCCCCAATGTTATTTAGTGATGAAGCAATGTCGGGATGTGGCGTTGTTTCACCATAGATAGCTTTCCTCATCTTCAGTGACTGTTCGTAATAACTAATAGCTTTCCTCTTATCCCCAAGGTCACTCCAACATGTCCCGATGTTGTTTAGTGATTTCGCAATGTCGGGATGTGGCATCGTTTCACCATAGATAGCTTTCATCATCTTCAGTGACTGTTCGTGATAACTGACAGCTTTTGTCTGATCACCAAGGTCACCCAAACAGTTCCCAATGTTGTTTAGTGATGACGCAATGTCGGGATGTGGCGTTGTTTCGCCATAGATAGCTTTCCTCATCTTCAGTGACTGTCCGTAATAAGTGATAGCTTTCCTTTGATCACCAAGACAACTCCAACATGTCCCAAAGTTGTTTAGTGATGTCGCAATGTCGGGATGTGGCGTTGTTTCGCCATAGATAGCTTTCCTCATCTTCAGTGACTGTTCGTAATAAGTGATAGCTTTCCTTTGATCACCAAGGTCACCCAAACAGTTCCCAATGTTGTTTAGTGATGACGCAATGTCGGGATGTGGCGTTGTTTCCCCATAGATAGCTTTCGTCATCTTCAGTGACTGTTCGTAATAAGTGATAGCTTTCCTTTGATTACCAAGGTCACCCAAACAGTTCCCAATGTTGTTTAGTGATTTAGCAATGTCGGGATGTGGCGTTGTTTCGCCATAGATAGCTTTCCTCATCTTCAGTGACTGTTCGTAATAAGTGATAGCTTTCCTTTGATCACCAAGGTCACCCAAACAGTTCCCAATGTTGTTTAGTGATGACGCAATGTCGGGATGTGGCGTTTTTTCGCCATAGATAGCTTTCTTCATCTTCAGTGACTGTTCGTAAAAACTGATAGCTTTCCTCTGGTCACCAAGGTCACTCCAACATATCCCAATGTTGTCTATTGATCCAGCAATTTCGGGACGCATTTCGGTGTCTGCACAAATATTTTTTCTAGCGCTAAGTCCTCGTTCGTAGTAGCTCTTCGCTTTCTCATAGTAACCGCAACTGTGCGAGACTCTGCCTAACGCCAAAAGTATCTCAAACTGCTTTTCCTCGTCACCACCCGCCTCTTGCAATGCTGCCTCAAAATGACGTAAGGATGCGTCTAACTGCAACAGCTGTTGTGCTATTTGCCCCCTGGTTTGAGCTGAGTTGTCAAAGATGGCAGTTGGGAATATCTTTGTTGTTCGATTATCCTTTTTAACTGTATCCACAATGCATCTTTTTAATGGAATGGCTGTATAGTAGTACCTGAACAACATTTTAGAGTTTGGTATGTGGAAAACTGACTCAACTACCGTGTCATCTACGTCATGTTTGTCCAGTACGATTTTCATCTCCGTGAGAGGAGACAGTTTGTCCTTCTGTCCTCCGTTTGCAATGTAGGTTCTTAACCGAACGCTCCGCTGAGATGCTGATCAGTACAGTCAAGTGGTGGGCATCTTCGTCACTGATCCACTGGGTCTTGTGTAACTCTTCTATCATTCCCCACACACTGGAGATCGTGATACCACAGCAAATACTTAACACATCAACGGCCACGCTGGGAAAACGGTAGATTTCTTTCTTTACATTCACAAGTTGGTCAGTTGGTTCAACGTTTTTATTTCCCGAATGTTATCCTTCAGTATCAGCATTGCTGACAACCGGGACAGAACAGGAGAACGGTCTACGCTGTTGTTGACAATGCTTGTATACTCATCTACCAAAGACTCGTCCCCTGTTAAGTAGGTCACCCGTCTGAGGATGTCTGACAGGTGATAGCCTTCCGCCAGGGAGATGTGAAGCTGCTGATATTCGGCCAACTTAGCCGGAGTCTGGATGAGACTAACGGGAGGTTTGCTTTTGGTTCCGTCTCTTCCAAACGGAGTCTTCGAAGCCCATGGCATGAAGCCGTCGAAGGCAAAGCCGCGAGGTGTGACGGAGTCGTAGAACCAGACTTTCTTTGGGTCTTCTGAGAGAAAGTCGTTGAGTGACGGGATGGCCATGGCCGGGAGAATGGTTTCCCCAAGGTTGATGACTTTCAGATGTAAGTAGTGTGTGAGATTTAGGAAATACCTCCGTGTATCATCATCATCCTTCCCCTCCTCAATCAGAATGGCGAACTCCAGGTCGGAGTACGGCGTCACCAGTTCTGTGGCCTGTGACCCCAACCCCATGAAAGCGTACTTACAGGGAGGAGGTCCGAGTTTGGCAATGCATTCGTCTGTCAGTACTTGGACAAACTCTTGTCTTTCAGCTGTGATGCTCTTGAACAAGTTCTTGATCGCTTCAGCTCGTTTGATCTCTACCTCTCTCACGACGGGATCGTCTTCATCATACTGATAAGGGTTGTGTTCCTGATGAATTGTTTCGAGCTGAGATTTTGCACGGGCGCGCGAGTTGTCCAGTTCCTTTATGTGATCTAACGCGCTGCTATACAGGCACGGTTCACAGTCAAGGTTACAGGTGTTTATAAGAAACTGCCTTTCTGTTTCTTGCAGTTTTGTCACCATGTTTTGTTTGTCTCCATTTGACCGTGCAATAGAAGCGTTATACAGAGCTGCCGCCTGTGTGAATTTCCTACCTTCTCCTGTCCGCTTACCTCGCTCGACGTAGACGTCACCCAACCTGCACAGACAGTCGGCTTCTTTGGCCTTCTTGGGTTTACTGCGATCTGTAGTCATGGAGTTGGAAAAAATAAGAATTGACCAATATTTAACAATTCTTTTTATGTTAGTTTCTGATATTTGCGTTCGAATTGGGTAAGGTAACTGAAAAAAGAAAGATTCGCTTATTAAGGTAAATAGAATTAAGTCAAATATCTTAATAAAGATTCAAATAAAAACAAAGGTTATCATGGAGAGATGTATAGAAAGGGTATTACAGACCATGAACCAACTTTAAGGCGGCTGCTATGTTCGTCTCTGCTGTGTCCAGGTCTCCATTTCTCACATCACGGTCTGCCGTCTGGAGGTACCTGCGGTAGGATCTAAACAACAAAGCCAGTTTTGAGAACAAAGGTGATAAATCGCTACTTGTGTTGTTGTACAAAAGTAATGAATGCCAAGCGTTCGTTTTTATTGCTACATAAAATTAAACAAAAACTTTATTACGACACAAAACCAAAGTTATGCACAATTATAGCATTTGTTGGCGTGTGTATAAGATATCTCTCCAACAGAATGTAAAATTGTCCCATTTTCATGTTTATTAAAGTGTTATTAGGATTTAAGCAATTAACAACACTGGGTACATTAGACAAGGAAACATTAAAGCACTAACATGTCATCGTCAACTTGATCTTGACTTGTGGTTCCGTCGCTAGAGGGCGCAGCTGAGAAGGTAGAGAAGAGGCCCTTCCGTCCTCTCACGTCTTGTTGCCGTTGTGCACGTGATAACCTCTGCGAGAACCGATAGGAAGATATGTTTAAGAGGTGGTTATGCAATCTACAAAGAGCTTTGACCAACGACCTGGCATGACCCCATGTAAAGTAAACTGAGTCTATGTTAAATACGGAGTATTTTCAGGGGAATATAAAATGTGATGAATATTGTTTGTCAAACTCCAAGGGCTAACTAAGACACATTCCATCCTGTTGTCAAGATGTACACATACCCATGGACAAAAATACATGCATAGTAACAGCTTATTGAATATTTTTGTCAAAGACTCAGTACAAACTCCACCCATACATTTCTTCGGAGAATTAAGCAATGGTGTTAATAAATCAATTCAAGAATTTGGTGTCATTCTAGCCGAAAAAGACCCCAAGTGACACGATAAGCCTTTACACAAATGGCGCCGAGAAATGCATGACGGGATATTCTTAGATAAACAAACCTAGAGGCCACCTAGTTGAAACCCGGAAGTATATTCTGGTACACTAGCGAGTGGTGACTAAGTAAAATAGTTCTCTCACCTTCTTTCTTGTTTTGGTGATGTCTTGTCTAATTTTTGCGGTGTGCAGTAAGCGGTGTACAATGACAACTGTTCCATGAACGTTGTGACACCGCGCCAGTGCCCTGTTGTACAGAGCAGTAGCTCTGGTCAAGTTTCTAGTGTCTCCAGTTTCTGTTCCTCTTTTCAGGTACACGTCACCCAGACTCTTGATCGCTTCTGTTTCTAACATGCTGTTGTCCTTTACTATCGCCTCTACCATCACCTGTGCGTATCCAACCAGCAAAGAGTCAGTGTTACCTCCGGTAGCCCGTCTCTTGTCCAGATCTTGGAACTTTGCCGCTACCTTTGCAGGTGTAGTCGTCTCCTTGTCTTCAGTTGGCTGTTCTTTACCCTGTGATGACAGCCCTTGTACAAGCCTCTCCGTGTAATGGTAGCGGTGTTCTATACCATCTGCCTGTTCTTCATGGTAACACCGTACCATAGCAGCAATGTAAAGCGCCAAGGCCGTGTTGAACTTCCCCACGTCCTTCCCGAGTCTTCCCTTCTCCACGTTCACGTCGCCCAGAGTTTTGAGCAGCTCCACTTCCGCCAGCCTGTCCGTGTCGGCCATAGCGTCCACCAGGGCACGAAGGTAGCCTGTCTCCGCCCGGGCTAGTCCGTACCTCCTGCACTTCTCGTCCGCCTCACGGAGTTTCTCACACACCCGCAACATGGTGACCCTCCGCTGAGAGAAGGTCTGTAAAACTGTTCCCCGTGTTGGCTTTATGGGCGTGACTCGAGCAAACACAGGTCTGGACAAACATCCCGCTGCTGGTGTCAGCATTACATCATCCCTCAGCCGATAACAAAGCTCAAAAGTCCAATACTCCTACTAACACATCGATAAAACTCGTAAACATGTCAGGTAGCGTGTTGTATTAGTTGTTTTATGTTATTTATTTCTCTGCACGGAGTTTCTCACAAACCAGCAACATTTTTTTGGGGGGGGGGGCGGGGTCATATTCCAACATTTCATGACTATACATGGTGACGGTACACTCAAGTTATATCAACAAGAGGAAAATATAGGACAGAAAAATACTTTATCATTTTTTACTTGAGTTAAGGAAAGTCTTGTAAAGTGAATTTCCCACTGGCACAAGATCGGTGGCATGTCAGGACTCGAACCCAGGACCTCTTGGTTCTAAGTCGAGCACATACGCCATACGACCCGGCATTGTTTTACCTGTGCTATATGTGGTAATAAAAATATTGTGGAAACACAAGACCTATCATGTCATCATTGTCTGCTGGTAAGAACGCACATAAGGGTAAAGCTGGTGTTGTCCTTGGTGCTGATCATGTCATTCCGCAGGCACCTGCTAGATGGCGCTTCAACACAGTATATCCACTTCTAGATCGGCACGATTCACGGCAGATGCGGCAGTTACTAGTCCTCAACAGTCCTCAATAGACAACTATGGGTGTGGCTGATATGTATGTAGATATAGCGTATTGTGTGTGGAGGGGCTACAACCTGTCAACCATCACCCTGTATTCTGTTTGATCAAGATTTTACTTCTGCTGTATGTGTTAATGAAAAGATTCGGCAAGATTCACGGTAGATGCGGCAGTTACTATTCCTTAGCAGTCCTCAGTAGACAACTATGGGTGTGGCTGATATGTATGTAGATATAGCGTATTGTGTGTGGAGGGGGGGGCTACAACCATCATCCTGTATTCTGTTTGCTCAATTGTACATACCAGTAGTCCAGTAGATAGGTATCACCACATTAGTTAAAAAAAAAACAAATCTATTTCATCGTTTTGTTCTGTTGCAATGAACCTGCCTTCTTACCGTCGCTGTTGTTGTCATGGCGAGAATCACCCGCTCATTCAATACCATCGTGATGCTGATAATCCACATCTTTCATCATCCATGACTTCTGTTCACTCACTCACTCACTCACTCACTCACTCACTCACCCACCCACTCACACACTCACTCACTCACTCACTCACTCACTCTCACTCACTCACTCACTCACTCACTCACTCACTCACTCACTCACTCACTCTCACTCACTCACTCACACTTACTCAGAAACAATACAAGCCTTTGTTTCCTTTATTCATTTGTACAGTATAGACATGTAGTCCCTGACGTTAGATATAGGACATATCAGAAAAGCATAAATCGCTGCTCAAGTGTAGGAATCCCACGAACGACTGTACATGTAAGTTACATAATATCATACTATGCTCCATTCTGGAAAGTACATTTGGTAGTTTCCTAGAATTCCTGTTATGTAATAGAAGCCACCATACCGAGTATACATTTTGTGAGCAATATAGCTATGTGATGACATGATATGGCAAGGCAGATTGGAGGTGTTCAGTAGTGTCTCCATAGTTAGCTAATCCTGAGTGACGATTTGGTATAACTAATAACGGCTTTACTCTACTCGTGGAGGGTACTTTTACAGGATCTAATGTTGTTCAGTACTATTGCAATGTTGGGATGTAATGTGTTATCCTCATAGATAACTTTCATCATATTCAATGTCTGTTCGTAAGAGCTGATGGCTTTACTGTGATCACCAAATTCGTGCCAACATGCCCCAATGTTGTTTAGTGATGAGGCAATGTCGGGATGTGGCGTTGTTTTGCCATAGATAGCTTGTCTCATCTTCAGAGACAGTTCGTAATATCTCATAGCTTTACTGTGATCACCGAATTCGTGCCAACATGCCCCAATGTTGTGTAGTGATTTAGCAATGTCGGGATGTGGCGTTGTTTCACCATAGATAGCTTTCATCATCTTCAGTGACTGTTCGTAATAACTGATAGCTTTCCTCTGATCACCAAGGTCACTCCAACAGTTCCCAAAGTTGTTTAGTGATGAAGCAATGTCGGGATGTGGCGTTGTTTCCCCATAGATAGCTTTCCTCATCTTCAGTGACTGTTCGTGATAACTGATAGCTTTTCTCCGATCACCAAGGTCACTCCAACATGCTCCAATGTTGTTTAGTGATGAAGCAATGTCGGGATGTGGGTTTGTATCGCCATAGATTGCTTTTGTCATCTTCAGTGACTGTTCGTGATAACTTACGGCTTTCCTTTGATCACCAAGGTCACGCCAACATGTCCCAATGTTGTTTAGTGATGACGCAATGTCAGGATGTGGCATTGTTTCGCCATAGATAGCTTTCATCATCTTCAGTGACTGTTTGTAATAACTGATAGCTTTTCTCTGATCACCAAGGCCACTCCAACATTTCCCGATGTTGTTCAGTGATGAAGCAATGTCAGGATGTGGCGTTGTTTCACCATAGGTAGCTTTCCTCATCTTCAGCGATTGTTCGTGATAACTGATAGCTTTTCTCATATCACCAAGGCCACTCCAACATTCCCCAATGTTGTTCAGTGATGAAGCAATGTCGGGATGTGGCGTTGTTTCGCCATAGATAGCTTTCATCATCTTCAGTGACTGCTCATTATAACTGATAGCTTTTCTCTGGTCACCAAGATCATTCCAACAGTTCCCAATGTTGTTTAGTGACGAAGCAATGTCTGGGTGTGGCGTTGTTTCGCCATAGATAGCTTTCCTCATCTTTAGTGACTGTTCGTAATAACTGATAGCTTTCCTCTGATCGCCAAGGTCACTCCAACATGTCCCAATGTTGTGTAATGATGACGCAATGTCTGGATGTTCTGTTGCTTCGCCATAGATAGCCTTTATCATCTTCAGTGACTGTTCGTAGTACGTGATCGCTTTTCTCTGACCACCAAGGTCGCTCCAACATGCCCCAATATTGTGTAGTGATAAAGCAATGTCAGGATGTGGCGTTGTTTCGCCATAGATAGCTTTCATCATTTTCAGTGACTGTTCGTAATAACTGATAGCTTTCCTCTGATCACCAAGGTTACTCCAACATACCCCAACGTTGTTTAGTGATGAAGCAATGTCGGGATGTGGCTTTGTTTCGCCAAAGATAGCTTTCCTCATTTTCAGAGATTGTTCGTAATAACTAAAAGCTCTCCTCTTATCGCCAAGGTCACTCCAACATGCCCCAATGTTGTTTAGTGATGAAGCAATGTCAGGATGTTCTGTTGTGTCGCCATACATAACTCTCACCATCTTCAGTGACTGTTCGTGATAACTGAGAGCTTTTCTCTGATCACCAAGCTTACGCCAACAATTCCCAATGTTGCTTAGTGATTTAGCAATGTCAGGATATGGCGTTGTTTCAGCATAGATATTTTTCGTCATCTTCAGCGACTGTTCGTAATAACTGATAGCTTTTCTCTGATCGCCAAGGTCACTCCAACATGCCCCGATGTTGTTTAGTGATTTAGCAATGTCGAGATGTGGCGTTGTTTCACCATATATAGCTTTCATCCTCATTAGTGACTGTTCGTGATAACTGATAGCTTTCCTCTGATCACCAAGGCCGTTCCAACATGACCCAATGTTTGCGAGTAACGAGGCAATTGCGGGATGCGTTTTGGTGCCTTCGTCAATAGTATTTCCAATTCTGAGTGCCTGTTTGTAGTAGCTAATCGCTTTCTCATAGTCACCGCGACTGTGCGAGACATTGCCTAACGCCAAAAGTATGCCCAACTGCTTTTCCTCGTCACCACCCGCCTCTTTCAGTGCTGCCTCCAAGTGACGTACGGATGCGTCAAACTGTAGCAGTTGATGTGTTATTCGGCCCCTGGTTTGAGATGAGTTGTCAAAGATGGCTGTTGGGAATATCTTTGTGGTTTGATTTTCAATTTGAATTGTATCCATAATACATCTTTTTAATGGAAAGGCTGTATAGTAGTACCTGAACAACATTTTCGAGTCCGGTATGTGGAAAACTGACTCAACGATGGTGTCATCTACGTCATGTTTGTCCAGTTGGACTTTCATCTCCGTGAGAGGAGACAGTCTGTCCTTCTGTCCTCCGTTGGCAATGTACGTTCTTAACCGTAGCTCCGCTGAGATGCTGATCAGTACAGTCAAGTGGTGGGCATCTTCGTCACTGATCTGCTGTGTCTTGTGTAACTCTTCTATCATTCCCCACACACTGGGGATCGTGATACCACAGCAAATACTCAACACATCGACAGACACGCTGGGAAAACGGTAGATTTCTTTCTTCACATCTAGAAGTTGGTCGGTTGGTTCAACGTTTTTTATTTCCCGAATGTTATCCTTCAGTATCAGCATTGCTGACAACCGGGACAGAACAGGAGAACGGTCTACGCTGTTGTTGACAATGCTTGTATACTCATCTACCAAAGACTCGTCCCCTGTTAAGTAGGTCACCCGTCTGAGGATGTCTGACAGGTGATAGCCTTCCGCCAGGGCGATGTGCAGATGCTGATATTCGGCCAACTCGGTAGGCGTCTGGATGAGACTAACGGGAGGTTTGCTTTTGGTTTGATCTCTTCCAAACGGAGTCTTAGAAGCCCATGGCATGAAGCCGTCAAAGGCGAAGCCGCGAGGTGTGACGGAGTCAAAGAACCAGTCTTTCTCTGGGTCTTCTGAGAGAAAGTCGTTGAGTGACGGGATGGCCATGGCTGGGAGGATGGTTTCCCCAAGGTTGATGACTTTGAGATGTAAGTAGTGTGTAAGATTTAGGAAGTACCTCCGTGTATCATCATCATCCTTCCCCTCCTCAATCAGAATGGCGAACTCCAGGTCGGAGTACGGCGTCACCAGTTCTGTGGCCTGTGACCCCAACCCCATGAAAGCGTACTTACAAGGGGGAGGTCCGAGTTTGGCGATGCATTCATCTGTCAGTACTTGGATAAACTCTCGTCTTTCAACTGTGATGCTCTTGAACAAGTTCTTGATTGCTTCAGCTCGTTTGATCTCTACCTCTCTCACGACGGGATCGTCTTCATCATACTGATAAGGGTTGTGTTCCTGATGAATTGTTTCGAGCTGAGATTTTGCACGTGCGCGCAAGTTGTCCAGTTCATTTCTGTGATCTAACGCGCCGCTATACGGACACGGTTCACAGTCAAGGTTACAGGTGTTTTTAAGAAACTGCCTTTCTGTTTCTTGCAGCTTCGTTACCATGTTTTCTTTGGGTCCATCTGACCGCGCCATGGAGGCGTTATACAGAGCTGCCGCCTGTGTGAATTTCCTACCTTCTCCTGTCCGCTTACCTCGCTCGACGTAGACGTCACCCAACCTGCACAGACAGTCGGCCTCTTTGGCCTTTTCGGGTTTACTGTGATCTGTAGGGAGGAATTAAAAATTTAAACTGATCATTTAATGTGAAGCAAAGTAGTGCATAATTTTTTTTTTTACTTAGTACAAAACCAAGTCTTCCATTATAGAGGAAAATGAGTTAATGGAACTGTCAATGAAAAATTAAGAGAAGACTGAAAAAAGGTTATATTATGTAGGTATCAAAATTTTAAACAGACCGTGAACCAGCTTTAGGGCGGCTGCTAGATTCTGCTCTGCTGCGTCCAGGTCTCCATTTCCTAAGTCACGGTCTGCCGTCTTGATGTACCTGCGGTAGGATCTAAACAACGAAGGAAACGTTGTTTTGAACTATATAACTGTACTTCAGAAAGGTACCAAATGCACCACAAAGTGTTTGACATAGTGCTCAATACATATTAGGCCAATCATCCAATACACATATGTAATAGTGTTGACATAAAATTGAACAACGTAGTCTTTTCAATGTCACAAACAGACGTTATACACTGTAGTAATATTGATAATACTGTATATGGCCTCTTGTTTATGTTTTCCGTTTATTTCGTTACTGAATGCATTAAAAAGGAAACACAAAATCACTAACATGTCGTCGTTAACTTTACTGGTGGTTCCGTCGCTAGAGGGCGCAGCTGAGAAGGGAGAGAAGTGACCCGTCCGTTCTCTCACGTCTTGTTGTTTTTGCGTACGTGTTGACCTCTGCGAGAACCGATAGGGAGTATTAACGCTATGTATCATCAACAGGTGGTCATGTAAACCACAAAAGAGCTTTGACCAAGGTCAAAGGTAAATGACCAGACATGACGCGTGGAAGACCAATGCCAACCAAGACCAATGTTATTAACATTTTTTTGTTCAGTATCATTGTTGATATGTTTATTTTGATACGAACTGTCTCATAATTGTGGTCAGGGAGTTGAAAAGGCATTCTTAGGCCTGTTTCCCATGACCGGTTTTACATGTAATATACTACTATATGTAAAAAAGTTGGATACCTATTTGACTTCATACAACAAGACACATTCCACCCTATTGTCAAGAAATACATGTATATTCACAACTGATGGAACTATCCTGTCCCAAAAGATTCAGTACAAACTCCACCTTTACTTTTGTTCAGGGAATTAAGCAATGAAGTGAATAAATCAATATAGGAAGTTGCTATTCTAGCGGAGAAAGGCTCTTGACCTCAGGTGTCACGATGACTCTTTTCAACGTTAGCTCCACGAAATACATGGCGGAAAAATAAACAAACAGAGTCTAAACCCGGGCGTCTAGTAATGCATCAGCATGGTGAGTCCTGTCGCCATGCTCAAGTAAGAAATAGTTCTCTCACCTTGTTTCTTGTTGTGGTGATGTCTTGTCTGATTCTTGAGGTGTGCAGTAAGCGGTGAACAATGACAACTGTTCCATGAACGTTGTGACACCGCGCAAGTGCCCTGTTGTACAGAGCAGTAGCTCTGGTCAAGTTTCTAGTGTCTCCAGTTTCTGTTCCTCTTTTCAGGTACACGTCACCCAGACTCTTGATCGCTTCTGTTTCTAGCATGCTGTTGTCTTTTACTATCGCCTCTACCATTACCTGTGCGTATCCAACCAGCAAAGAGTCTGTGTTATCTCTGGCAGCCCGTCTCTTGTCCAGATCTTCGAACTTTGCCGCTACCTTTGCAGGTGTAGTCGTCTCCTTGTCTTCTGTTGGCTGCTCTTTACCCTGTGATGACAGCCCTTGTAAAAGCCTCTCCGTGTAGTGGTAGCGGTGTTCTATACCATCTGCCTGTTCTTCATGGTAACACCGCACCATAGCAGCAATGTAAAGAGCCAAGGCTGTGTTGAACTTCCCCACGTCCTTCCCGAGTCTTCCCTTCTCCACGTTCACGTCGCCCAGAGTTTTGAGCAGCTCCACTTCCGCCAGCCTGTCCGTGTCGGCCATGGCGTCCACCAGGGCACGGAGGTAGCCTGTCTCCGCCCGGGCTAGTCCGTACCTCCTGCCCTTCTCGTCCGCCTCACGGAGTTTCTCACACACCCGCAACATGGCGCACACTTGCTACGCTTCAGAAGAAAGAGTCTTTAAGAATCCTTCTTCACGGGCACAGTACCCCTCCTTAGCTTTCTGCGCCTGTCTTAAGCAAACACAGGTTTCACAATGCATTGTGTCATCTGTCAATGCAGAAGTCAAAGGTCCAATACAAAAGCTTTGGAAATACCCGTAAACAGATCACTGGCAGGTAACCCGCCTACCTGCCTAAGACTTAAGTACTCAGACCTTTTGCTTTCTTAACACAGTTTTGCAGGAAGACTGGTTCTTTACCGCCAACACTGCGTCTTAAACTGTATAATAAATAATTCTGATGTCGTCTTTGATTTGATCTTTTTACCGTTTTCGGGTCTTCCAGGTGGCCTCGTGTTTGATAAACCCTGCTGGTATACCTTTGGCCATATTTGTAGACCCAGAAATTACAGTATATTGGTAAACGGCCCCAACTGGACACTAGAATTCCTTCCTGGTTGGAAAATTTATTCTACTATAGTCTTATGTACTGCAGTGCATTCCGTTGGTCTGTGCCAGTGTTTTCTGCCCCTACGTTAGCTCGAATATCACCGTTTGCAATGTGGCCGTATATGGTGTCAGTATTTTACCCTAGTGACAATGACAAGTTTGAATAGTAGGTGGTATATGGTGTCAGTGTTTTCTGTAACCATAGTGACAATGGCAAGTTTGAATAGTCGGACTGGTATATGGTGTCAGTGTTTTGTGTAACCCTAGTGCAATGCCAACATGTAACGGTCTCTCTCTGCCCTCTACCACGGCCCCCACTTGGTATATGTATTTACACGGGCCACTGATGTTGTACGTGGGCCCCTGATTCTGTACTTAAAGCTAGAGTCACATTTCCTCGAGGCGGCGATGTCCAGCCGTCGAGAACCCCGCCAGTTGCCTTCCAGGTCCCCGTGCGGTAGTGCCAAACTAGCCCGCAAACGCACCGCGTGGGCCCTTTTTTATTGTGAACTTGGCTTACGTCGATGAACTGATATACCTACATGTAATTTAAAGTCATAACCCGGTCACCAGCCTCTCCCAGGGCTTCAGAGGAGCTCCCTCGGGCCACTGTAAGCACTGAAACCGCCTGGAAGATTAGCCCGCCCCGGTGATTTGGCCTGCCTGCCTGTCCACCAACGCAGAGGACAAATACAGGACAGACAATTACTCATTTTTACAGTGTTAAGTGAGGAAAGTCGTGTCCCTTTCCCAAAGGCACAAGATAGGTGGCATGTCAGGACTCAAACCCGGGACCTCTTGGTTCTAAGTCAAGCACTTTTCCGTTACGCCTCGCGCCCCCGCATTGGTTTACCTCTGCTACATGTGGTAATTAAAATATTGTGGAAACACAAGGACTATCATGTCATCATTGTCTGCTGGTAAGAGCGCACATAAAGATAAGGCTGGTGCTGTCCTTGGTGCTGATCATGTCATTCCGCAGGCACCTGCTAGATGACGCTTCAACACAGTATAGCCACTTCTAGATCGGCACGATTCACGGCAGATGCGGCAGTTATTAGTCCTCAACAGTCCCCAATAGACAACTATGGGTGCAGCTGATATGTATGTAGATACAGCGTATTGTGTGTGGAGGGGCTACAACCATCATCCTGTGTTCTGTTTGCTAGATATCACCACATTAGTTAACTAGAGTTCCCCGATCCCATACCTTCGCCAAATGATGTTAATCTTTATAACTGAAATTATAGATTAGATTATTCCCCCCTGATTTAAGAAATAGGAACCTAATTTTCATGAATTATATCATTTTATTATAATCTCAACCAAAAGACAGCCTTATATTAACAAACAATGCATTCTAGCATTTCGTAATAAATTATGCAAATGAGGTCCTGATTTGAATAAATTATGTTTAATGATGTTCACCTCAACTAAACTTTCAAATACCACAAGTATGAAATTCCAGGCAGTTATCATTACATAATTATAAAATTTTCTCATTAATTATGCAAATTAAGTCATTATTAACATAATCAATATCTTCCTGTGTTTCTCTCGTTGTCAATTACCAATGTCACAAGCTTCAATTGTCCTATCATGGAATGCAGCTGATTTATAGAATTTCCCCATAAATTATGCAAATTACATCCATATTTGCATAATTGTCACATAATTATATTAAACATCACGTAAGCTACCTACATACCAAAAATCACGACGATCCGTCAACCGGTTCTTGAGTTATCCCCTTTTGAATATTTTCAAGAATATATCGCTGCAGTTCCAGAGCAAGCCGCTAGGGGGCCTAAACTCACATCACTTCTTCCCCAGCACAAGAGCTACCTACCATCTAAATTTCATCACCATAGCATGTCTAGATCATGAGATATCAAAACCGGAAGTTCAGCTGCAGTACCATAACAAGCCGCTAGGGGGTCCAAAATCTAATCATTTTGAGGTCTCATCAAGACTTACCCATCTACCAAGTATCAAGACAATCCATCAAGGCCTTCTCAAGTTATCGTGTTGACAGACAGACAGACAGACACACACACACACACACACACACACACATACACGAACGCCCCTGAAAACATAACCTTCTTGGCGAAGGTAATGAATGAATGAATGAATGAATGGAAGAATGAATGAATGAATGAATGAATGAATGAATGAATGAATGAATGAATGAATGAATGAATGCTTTATGTCCGTGCCGTGTGGGCTTATACGACACCATTTCATAACACTAGAGTTCCCCGATCCCATACCTTCGCCAAATGATGTTAATCTTTATAACTGAAATTATAGATTAGATTATTCCCCCTGATTTAAGAAATAGGAACCTAATTTTCATGAATTATATCATTTTATTATAATCTCAACCAAAAGACAGCCTTATATTAACAAACAATGCATTCTAGCATTTCGTAATAAATTATGCAAATGAGGTCCTGATTTGAATAAATTATGTTTAATGATGTTCACCTCAACTAAACTTTCAAATACCACAAGTATGAAATTCCAGGCAGTTATCATTACATAATTATAAAAATTTTCTCATTAATTATGCAAATTAAGTCATTATTAACATAATCAATATCTTCCTGTGTTTCTCTCGTTGTCAATTACCAATGTCACAAGCTTCAATTGTCCTATCATGGAATGCAGCTGATTTATAGAATTTCCCCATAAATTATGCAAATTACATTCATATTTGCATAATTGTCACATAATTATATTAAACATCACGTAAGCTACCTACATACCAAAAATCACGACGATCCGTCTACCGGTTCTTGAGTTATCCCCTTTTGAATATTTTCAAGAATATATCCCTGCAGTTCCAGAGCAAGCCGCTAGGGGGCCCAAACTTACGTCACTTTTTCCCCAGCACAAGAGCTACCTACCACCCAAATTTCATCACCATAGCATGTCTAGATCATGAGATATCAAAACCGGAAGTTCAGCTGCAGTACCATTAAAAGCCGCTAGGGGGCCCAAAATCTAATCATTTTGAGGTCTCATCAAGACCTACCCACCTACCAAGTATCAAGACAATCCATCAAGGCCTTCTCAAGTTATCGTGTTGACAGACAGACAGACAGACACACACACACACACACACACACACACACACATACACGAACGCCGCTGAAAACATAACCTTCTTGGCGAAGGTAATAAACAACAATTCTATTTGATGGTTTTGTTCTGTTGCAATGAACCTACCTTCTTACCGTCGCTATTGTTGTCATGGTGAGAATCACCCGCTCATTCAATACCATCGTGATGCTGATAATCCACATCTTTCATCATCCATAACTTCTGTTCACTCTCTCACTCACTCACTCACTCACTCACTCACTCACTCACTCTCTCACTCACACACTCACTCAGTCACTCACTCACTCACTCACTCACTCACTCACTCACTCATTTCATTGAGCTTACTCGGAACTCATATACATGTATGACTTTGTTTCCTTTATGCATTGTCGTGCTAATCCCTGATTCTAGATATAGAACATAAAGGAATTGTCCAAATGGCTGCCTACTTATAATGAGTGCAAGAAATTCCACCGAAGACTACGAATGTATAGTCTCCCTACGCAATACATAGTCCTGCAAAGTAAATCAATTCCCCTTATCATGTAGTAGAAGCTGCTATACTTAGTAATACATAGTAAGCAATTTGTGACCAAGATAGCTATGTAATGACATGATATGACAAGACAGATTGGAGGTGTTCAGTAGTGTCTCCATAGTTAGCTAATCCTGAGTGACGATTTGCTATAACTACTAACGGCTTTACTCTACTCGTGGAGGGCACTTTTACATAATCTAATATTGTTCAGTACTGATGCTATGTTGGGATGGGATGTCTTGTCCCCGTAGATAACTTTCATCATATTCAAAGACTGTCGGTAATACTTCATGGCTTTACTGTGATCACTGAGTCGTTTCCAACATACCCCAATGTTAGAAAGTGATTCCGCAATGTCAGGATGTGGCGATGTTTCGCCATAAATAGCTTTCTTCATCTTTAGTGACTGTTCGTAATAACTGATAGCTTTTCTATGATCACCAAGGTGACTCCAACATGATCCAATGTTGTTTAGTGATGATGCAATGTCTGGATGTGTCGTTGTTTCGCCATAGATAGCCTTCATCATCTTCAGTGACTGTTCGTGATAACTAATAGCTTTCCTCTGATCACCAAGGTGACTCCAACATACCCCAATGTTGTTTAGTGATGATGCAATGTCTGGATGTGGCGTTGTTTCCCCATAGATAGCTTTCTTCATCTTCAGTGACTGTTCGTGATAACCTGATAGCTTTCCTCTGATCACCAAGGTGACTCCAACGTACCGCAATGTTGTTTAGTGATGATGCAATGTCGGGATGTGGCGTTGTTTCCCCATAGATAGCTTTCATCATCTTCAGTGACTGTTCGTAATAACTAATAGCTTTCCTCTGATCACCAAGGTCACTCCAACATGCCCCAATGTTGTTTAGTGGTGTAGCAATGTCGGGATGTGGCGTTGTTTTACCATAGATAGCTTTCCTCATCTTCAGTGACTGTTTGTAATAACTGATAGCTTTCCTCTGATCACCAAGGTGACTCCAACATGTCCCAATGTTGTGTAGTGATCCAGCAATGTCGGGATGTGGCGTTGTTTCACCATAGATAGCTTTACTCGTCTTCAGTGACTGTTCGTAATAGCTGATAGCTTTTCTCTGATCGCCAAGGCAGCTCCAACATGTCCCAATCTTTTCAAGTAACGAGGAAAATACGGGACTCAGTTTGTTGTGTGCATAAATTCTATTGCCAGCGCTAAGTACCAGTTCGTAGTAGCTCTTTGCTTTGTCATAGTCACCGCGACTGCGTGAGACACTGCCTAATGCCAAAAGTATGTCAAACAGCTTTTCCTGGTCACCACACGCCGCCTCCTCCAGTGCTGCCTCCAAGTGACGTATGGATGCGTCTAACTGCAAAAGCTGATGCGTTATTCGACCCCTGGTTTAAGACGAGTTGTCAAAGATGGCTGTTGGGAATATCGTTGTTGGTTGATTATCCTTTTTAACTGTGTTCATAATGCATCTTTTTAATGGAAAGGCTGTATAGTAGTACCTGAACAACATTTTAGAGTCCGGTATGTGGAAAACTGACTCAACTACCGTGTCTTCTACGTCATGTTTGTCCAGTTGGACTTTCATCTCCGCGAGAGGAGACAGTTTGTCCTTCTGTCCTCCGTTGGCGATGTACGTTCTTAACCGTAGCTCCGCTGAGATGCTGATCAGCACAGTCAAGTGGTGGGCATTTTCGTGACTGATCCGCTGTGTCTTCTCTAACTCTTCTATCATTCCCCACACACTGGGGATCGTGATACCACAGCAAATACTTAACACATCAACGGCCACGCTGGGTAAACGGTATATTTCTTTCTTCACATCCAGAAGTTGGTCCGTTGCTTCAACGTTTTCTATTTGTCCGATATTATCCTTAAGTATTAGCATTGCTGACAACCGTGACAGAGCAGGGGAACGGTCTACGCTTTTGTTGACAATGCTTGTATACTCCTCTACCAAAGACTCATCCCCTGTTAAGTAGGTCACCCGTCTGAGGATGTCTGACAGGTGATAGCCCTCCGCCAGAGCTATTCTGATATACTGATACTTGGCCAACTTGGCAGGAGTCTGGATGAGACTAACGGGAGGTTTGCTTTTGGTTTCGTCTCTTCCAAACGGAGTCTTAGAAGCCCATGGCATGAAGCCGTCGAAGGCGAAGCCGCGAGGTGTGACGGAGTCGTAGAACCAGACTTTCTTTGGGTCTTCTGAGAGAAAGTCGTTGAGTGACGGGATGGCCATAGCTGGGAGGATGGTTTCCCCAAGGTTGATGACTTTTAGATGTAAGTAGTGTGTGAGATTTATGAAGTACCTCCGTGTATCATCATCATCCTTCCCCTCCTCAGTCAGAATGGCGAACTCCAGGTCGGAGTACGGCGTCACCAGTTCTGTGGCCTGTGACCCCAACCCCATGAAAGCGTACTTACAGGGAGGAGGTCCGAGTTTGGCGATGCATTCATCTGTCAGTACTTGGATGAACTCTCGTCTTCCAAATGTGATGGTCTTGAACAAGTTCTTGATTGCTTCAGCTCGTTTGATCTCTACATCTCTCACGACGGGATCGTCTTCATCATACTGATAAGGGTTGTGTTCCTGATGAATTGTTTCGAGCTGAGATTTTGCACGGGCGCGCAAGTTGTCCAGTTCCTTTATGTGATCTAACGCGCTGCTATACGTACACGGTTCACAGTCAAGGTTACAGGTGTTTCTAAGAAACTGCCTTTCTGTTTCTTGCAGTTTTGTTACCATGTTTTGTTTGTCTCCATCTGTTCTGGCCATGGAGGCGTTATACAGAGCTGCCGCCTGTGTGAATTTCCTACCTTCTCCTGTCCGCTTACCTCGCTCGACGTAGACGTCACCCAACCTGCTCAGACAGTCGGCTTCTTTAGCCTTGTTGGGTTTACTGCGATCTGTAGGTTGGAATTTAAAAAGATCAGACAAAAGGAAGCAAAGTTGTGCACTTATTTCTAACTTTGTACAAGACGAAGTCGTCGATAATAGAGAAAAATATGCTAATTGAATTTTCAATGAAAAATACAAGATTGAGATTATATCATGTATAAATAAAAGTTTTAACCGACCGTGAACCAGCTTCAGGGCGGCTGCTATGTTCGTCTCTGCTGCGTCCAGGTCTCCATTTCTCACGTCACGGTCTGCCGTCTGGATGTACCTGCGGTAGGATCTGAACAACGAAACAAACGTTGTGAAATAATCATGCTGTACAATAGCAATATTGTGCCAATTATCCATTAGTATTGTGACATAAATCTGTACAGCCTATACTACTGTTACACACAGTAACATTAAATGACGTGATACATTTCCGGCCATATTTTCTTAGATTGGCTAATTGATCCTTAGCAAATCCTTTACCAAAACTTGATTTTTAACTTGGTTTAAAATTATTCCCAATTAAAAAAAAAAGATAGTCAATGGTCCTATATTCTAATATATTGGACCGGAAACAACATCTGTTACATTAGACAAGAAAAATAGAGCACTAACATGTCGTCAACTTGACTGGTGGTCCCGTCGCTAGAGGGCGCAGCTGAGAAGGCAGAGAAGTGGCCCTTCCGTCCTCTCACGTCTTGTTGTTTTTGGACACGTGTTGACCTCTATGAGAACCGATAGGAAGTAGTATATGATATAGAAAGAAATTAAAGATTAACAGGTGGTCATGTAATCCACAGAATAGCTTTGGCCTTTCGAAAGCAAACTGAGTCTTTGTTGAATACAGAAATGAATATAAAACGATGATTGGTTGTTTATTTGGACTCCATTTAAGTACAGTGGCGCGATAAACACACTTCATGCTATTGTCGAGATATACGCATATCCACCGTTCAAAAATGGATTTACCCCGGTATGTTAACAACTATCTGGTCCTTACAGATTCAGTACAAACCCCACCCAGACTTTTGTTGGTGGAATTGAGCAACAAGAGTTCCACGATCTCATACCTTCGCCAAACCCTTCTAGTTGACAAATTATACAATCTTAATCATTCATTTCACAAATTAGAGCCTAATTTGCATGAATTATATCATTTGATGATATTCTCCACACAATGACAGCCTTATCTTAACAAAAAAGGGTATTCTAGCACTTCCTCATAAATTATGCAAAAGTCATCATGATTTGAATAAATAATGTTTATAGATGTTCATCTTGACTTAACTTTCAAATGTGGTAAGTATAAAATTCCTAGCAGTTACAACATTGAAATGATAATTGCCATTAATTATGCAAAATAGGTCTTCATTTACATAATTTACATCCTCAGATGTTTTTCTCGTTTTCAATTACATGTCACATGTGTTTCATAGTCATATCAACGAACAAAGCAGATTTATAGAATTTCCTCAATAATTATGCAAATTAGCCCTGATTTGCATACTTATTATCTGATTATGTCAAACATCGCTTTAGCTACCTACACACCAAAAATCACGACAATCCGTCAACCAGTTCTTGAGTTATCCTTCTCTGAATATTTTTCATCTAATGCTTCTGCAGTTCCAGAACAAGCTGCTAGGGGGCCCAAACTCGTGTCACTTCTTCCCTACCCCAAGAGCTATCTATCACTCAATATTCGTGACCCTAGCATTTCCAGATCATGAGATAGCAAAGCCGCCAGGGGGCTCAAAATCTAATCATCTCTAGGTCTCATCAAGACCTATCTACCTACCAAGTTTCATGACAGTCCATATAAAGGTTCTTGAGTTATCGTGCTAAACCACATACATACACACACTCACACACACAAACAAACACACACACACACACACACACACACACACACACACACACACACACACACATACACATACACACACACACACACACACACACACACACACACACACACACACACAGACAAACGCTACTGAAAACATAACCTTCTTGGCGAAGGTAATGAAGGCAATACAAGACGTTGGTATCATTCTAGCGTAGCGCAAAAAATCCCTTGACACGATAAGCCTTTCTCAATTAGCGGCGAGAAATGCATGGCGGGATTTATGGAGATAAACAACCCAGACGTCTAGTCAACAAGCACGTCGACAGAACGTACTGCGCCTGCGCAGAACCCTAGATTTTCGCGTTTTTCGTTGGGTTTTTGGTCAACGTTGCATCAGAATTTTGACTGTTGCAGAGGGTATCTTTCCCGACACAACATTTGGAAACTATTGTCGAAATCCTAACCTTATATGTGCGAATACAACCTTATATGAGACGTTCTGCCGAAGGGCTTTGCACAATACATTGCGGGTTTCGCGCAGGCGCAGTACGCTCTGCCGACGTGCTTAGTCAACATGGCAAGTAAAAGTAGTTCGCTCACCTTGTTTTTGGTTCTGGTGATGTCTTGTCTGATTTTTGCGGAGTGCAGTAAGCGGTGAACAATGACAACTGTTCCATGAATGTTGTGACACCGCGCCAGTGCCCTGTTGTACAGAGCAGTAGCTCTGGTCAAGTTTCTAGTGTCTCCAGTTTCTGTTCCTCTTTTCAGATACACGTCACCCAGACTCTTGATCGCTTCTGTTTCTAACATGCTGTTGTCGTTTACTATCGCCTCTACCATCACCTGTGCGTATCCAACCAGCAAAGAGTCTGTGTTACCTCCGGTAGCCCGTCTCTTGTCCAGGGCTTGAAACTTTGCCGCTACCTTTGCAGGTGTAGTCGTCTCCTTGTCTTCAGTTGTCTGTTCCTTACCCTGTGATGACACCCCTTGTAAAAGCCTCTCCGTGTAGTGGTAGCGGTGTTCTATACCATCTGCCTGTTCTTCATGGTAACACCGCACCATAGCAGTCAGATAAAGCGCCAAGGCTGTGTTGAACTTGCCCACATCCTTCCCGAGTCTTCCCTTCTCCACGTTCACGTCGCCCAGAGTTTTGAGCAGCTCCACTTCCGCCAGCCTGTCCGTGTCGGCCATGGCGTCCACCAGGGCACGGAGGTAGCCTGTCTCCGCCCGGGCTAGTCCGTACCTCCTGCCCTTCTCGTCCGCCTCACGGAGTTTCTCACACACCCGCAACATGGCGACCCTCCGCTGAGAGAACGTCTGTAAAACTGTTCCCCGTTCTCCGTGTTGGCTTTATGCGCGTGACTCGAGCAAACACAGGTCTGGACAAACATTCCACTGCTGGTGTCAACATTACATCATCCGCCAGCCGATAACAAAGTTCGAAAGTCCAGTAACCTCACTTAAACATCGCTAATACTCGTAAACATGTCGGGTAGCGTGTTGTATCAGTTGGTTTAATGTTATGTTATTTATTTCTCCGCACGGAGTTTCTCACAAACCAACAACATTTTTTTTTGGGGGGGGGGGTCATATTCTAACATTTCATGACTAGACATGGTGACGGTACACTCAAGTTATCAACCAACGCACAGGAAAATATAGGACAGAAAAATACTCATTTTTTTACTTGAGTTAAGTAAGGAAAGTCTTGTAAAGTGCATTTCCCAAGGGCACAAGATCGGTGGCATGTCAGGCACATAAGCCGAGCACATAAGCCATACGACCCCGCATTGTTTCACCTGTGCTATATGTGGTAATGAAAATATTGTAGAAAAACAAGACCTATCATGTCATCATTGTCTGCTGATAAGAACGCACATAAGGGTAAGGCTGGTGCTGTCCTTGGTGCTGATCATGTTATTCCACAGGTACCTGCTAGATGGCGCTACAACACAGTATAGCCACTTCTAGATCGGCACGACTCACGGCAGATGCGGCAGTTACTAGTCCCCAACAGTCCTCAATAGACAACTATGGGTGTGGCTAATGTGTATGTAGATATAGCGTATTGTGTGTGGAGGGGCTACAGCCTTTCAACCATCATCCTGTATTCTGTTTGCTCAAGATTTTACTTCTGCTGTATGTGGTAATAAAAAGATTCGTCACGAGTCACATTAGATGCGGCAGTTATATATATTAGTCCTTAACATTCCTCAATAGACAACTATGGGTGTGGCTGATGTGTATGTAGATATAGCGTATTGTGTGTGGAGGGGGGGGGGGCATTTTAACCATCATCCTGTATTCTGTTTGCTCAAGATTTTACTTCTGCTGTATGTGGTGATGAAAAGATTCTTCACGATTCACGGTAGATTTGCCAGTTAGTAGTCCTCAACAGTCCTCAATAGACAATAGACAGTCCTCAATAGACACTAGAAATAGCGTATTGTGTGTCGAGGGGGGGGGTACAACCATCATCCTGTATTCTGTTTGCTCAATTGTACATACCAGTAGTCCACTAGATAGGTATCACCACATTAGTTAAAAAAAACAATTTTATTTGATCGTTTTGTTCTGTTGCAATGAACCTGCCTTCTTACCGTCGCTGTTGTTGTCATGGTGAGAATCACCGGCTCATTCAATACCATCGTGATGCTGATAATCCACATCTTTCATCATCCATAACTTCTGTTCATTCACTCACTCATTCACTCACTCACTCACACACTCACTCACACACTCACTCACTCACTCACTTATTCACTCATTCACTCACTCTCACACTCACTCACTAACTCACTAACTCACACACTCACTCACTCACTCTCACTCACTCACTCACACACTCACTCACTCACTCTCACTCACTCACTCACTCACTCACACACTCACTCACTGAGTCACTCACTCTCACACTCCCTCACTCACTCTCACTCACTCACTCACTCACTCACTCACTCACTCACTCACTCACTCTCTCAGTCTCTCACTCACTCACTCACTCGCTCCATTGAGCTTACTCAGAAACAATACAAGACTTTTTTTCCTTTATTCATTTGTACAGTATAGACATGTAGTCCTGACTTTAGATATAGGACATATCGGAAAAGCATAAATCGCTGCTCAAGTGTAGGAATCCCACCAAAGACTGTACATGTAAGTTACATAATATCATACTACGCTACATTCGGGAAAGTACATTTGGTAGTTTCTTAGAATTCTTGTTATGTAATAGAAGCCACCATACCGAGTATACATTTTGTGAGCAATATAGCTATGTAATGATATGATAGATTGAAGAAGTGTAGTAGTGTCTCTATAGTTAGTTAATCCTGAGTGACGATTTGCGACAACTAATAATAGCTTTACTCTACTCGCGGAGGGCACTTTTACATAGTCTAATATTGTTCAGTACTGTTGCCATGTTGGGATGTGCCGGGGTGTCCCGGTAGATAATTTCCATCCTATCTAATGACTGTTTGTAATATCTCATGGCTCTACTGTGATCACCAAGTTCAAACCAACATCTCCCAATGTTGTTTAGTACTGTTGCCAATTTGGGATGTGCCGGGTTGTCCCCATAGATTACTTTCATCATATTCAATGATGGTTCGTAATAGCTGAAGGCTTTACTGTAGTCACCAAGGCCACTCCAACATGTCCCAATGTTGTTTAGTGATGAAGCAATGTCGGGATGTGGCGTTGTTTCGCCATAGATAGCTTTCCTCATCTTCAGTGACTGTTCGTAATAACTGATAGCTTTCCTCTGATCGCCAAGGCCACTCCAACATAACCCAATGCTGTTAAGTGATGACGCAATGTTAGGATGGGGCGTAGTTTCACCATAGATGGCTTTCCTCATCTTCAGTGACTGTTCGTAATAACTGATAGCTTTCCTCTGATCACCAAGGTCACTCCAACATGCCCCAATGTTGCTTAGTGATCTAGCAATGTCGGGATGCGGCGTTGTTTCGCCATAGATAGCTTTCCTCATCTTCAGTGACTTTTCGTAATAAATGATAGCTTTTCTCTGATCACCAAGGCCCCACCAACATTTACCAACGTTGTTTAGTGATGAAGCAATGTCGGGATGTGGCGTTGTTTCGCAATAGATAGTTTTCGTCATCTTCAGTGACTGTTCGTAATACCTGATAGCTTTCCTCTGGTCACCAAGGTCACTCCAACAGTTCCCAACGTCGTGTAGTGATTTAGCAACGTCAGGATGTGGCGTTGTTTCGCCATAGATAGCTTTCATCATCTTCAGTGACTTTTCGTAATAACTAATAGATTTTCTCTGATCACCAAGGTCCCTCCAACATTTACCAATGTTGTTTAGTGATCTAGCAATGTCGGGATGTGGCGTTGTTTCGCCATAGATAGTTTTCGTCATCTTCAGTGACTGTTCGTAATACCTGATAGCTTTCCTCTGGTCACCAAGGTCACTCCAACAGTTCCCAACGTTGTGTAGTGATTTAGCAACGTCAGGATGTGGCGTTGTTTCGCCATAGATAGCTTTCATCATCTTCAGTGACTTTTCGTAATAACTAATAGCTTTTCTCTGATCACCAAGGTCACTCCAACATGCGCCAATGTTGTTTAGTGATCTAGCAATGTCGGGATGTGGCGTTGTTTCGCCAAAGATAGCTTTCATCATCTTCAGTGACTGTTCGTAATACCTGATAGCTTTCTTCTGATCACCAAGGCTATTCCAACAGTTCCCAAAGTTGTTTAGCGATTTAGCAATGTCGGGATGTGGCGTTGTTTCACCATAGATAGCTTTCTCCATCTTCAGTGACTGTTCGTAATACCTGATAGCTTTCTTCTGATCACCAAGGTCACTCCAACATGTCCCAATATTGTTTAGTGATGATGCAATGTCGGGATGTGGTGTTGTTTCGCCATAGATAGCTTTCATCATCTTCAGTGACTGTTCGTAATAACTGGTAGCTTTTCTCTGATCACCAAGGTCACTCCAACATGTCCCAATATTGTTTAGTGATCCAGCAATGTCGGGATGTGGCGTTGTTTCGCCATAGATAGCTTTCGTCATCTTCAGTGACTGTTCGTGATAATTAATAGCTTTTCTCTTATCACCAAGGCGACTCCAACATACCCCAATGTTGTTTAGTGATGACGCAATGTCGGGATGTGGCGTTGTTTCGCCATAGATAGCTTTCCTCATCTTCAGTGACTGTTCGTAATAACCGATAGCTTGTCTGTGATCACCAAGACCGCTCCAACAGGATCCAACGTTTGTGAGTACCGCGAGAAATACGTCACGCATGTCGGTGCCTGCATAAATAGCATTTCCAGCGCTAAGTGCCAATTCGTAGTAGCTTTTTGCTTTCTCATAGCCCCCGCGACTGTTCCAGACACCGCCTAATGCAAAAAGTATTTCAAACTGCTTTTCCTCGTCACCACCCGCCTCTTCCAGTGCTGCCTCAAAGTGACGTACGGATGCGTTAAACTGCAACAGCTGTTGTGTTATTCTACCCCTAGTTTGAGATGAGGTGTCAAAGATAGCTGTTGGGAATATCTTTGTGCTTTGATCTTTCTTAATTTTGACAGTATCAATAATACATCTTTTTAATGGAATGGCTGTATAGTAGTACCTGAACAACATTTTAGAGTCCGGTATGTGGAAAACTGATTCAACGACGGTGTCATCTACGTCATGTTTGCCCAGTTCGGTTTTCATCTCCGTGAGAGGAGACAGTCTGTCCTTCTGTCCTCCGTTGGCAATGTACGTTCTTAACCGTAGCTCCGCTGAGATGCTGATCAGTACAGTCAGGTGGTGGGCATCTTCGTGACTGATCCGCTGTGTCTTGTGTAACTCTTCTATCATTCCCCACACACTTGCGATCGTGATACCGCAGCAAATACTCAACACATCAACGGCCACGCTGGGAAAACGGTAGATTTCTTTCTTGACATCCAAAAACTGTGCCGTCGGTTCAACATTGTTTATTTCCCGAATGTTATCCTTCAGTATTGTCATTGCTGACAACCGTGACAGAATAGGGGAACGGTCTACGCTTTTGTTGACAATAATTGTATATTCATCTACCAAAGATTCATCCCCTGTTAAGTAGGTCACCCGTCTGAGGATGTCTGACAGGTGATAGCCTTCCGCCAGGGCGATTCTGAGATTCTGATACTCGGCCAACTTGGCAGGAGTCTGGATGAGACTAACGGGAGGTTTGTTTTTGGTTTGGTCTCTTCCAAACGGAGTCTTAGAAGCCCATGGCATGAAGCCGTCGAAGGCGAAGCCGCGAGGTGTGACGGAGTCGTAGAACCAGTTTTTCTCTGGGTCTTCTGAGAGAAAGTCGTTGAGTGACGGGATGGCCATGGCTGGGAGGATGGTTTCCCCAAGGTTGATGACTTTTAGATGTAAGTAGTGTGTGAGATTTAGGAAGTACCTTCCTATATCATCATCATCATCCTTCCCCTCCTCAATCAGAATGGCGAACTCCAGGTCGGAGTACGGCGTCACCAGTTCTGTGGCCTGTGACCCCATGCCGATGAAAGCGTACTTACAGGGAGGAGGTCCCAGTTTGGCAATGCATTCATCTGTCAGTACTTGGATAAACTCTCGTCTTTCAACTGTGATGGTCTTGAACAAGTTCTTGATTTTTTCAGCTCGTTTGATCTCTACCTCTCTCACGACGGGATCGTCTTCATCATACTGATAAGGGTTGTGTTCCTCATGAACTGCTTCCAGCTGAGAGTTTGCACGGGCGCGCGAGTTGTCCAGTTTCTTTATGTGATCTAACGCGCTGCTATACGGGCACGGTTCACAGTCAAGGTTACAGGTGTTTCTCAGAAATCGCCTTTCTGTTTCTTGCAGTTTCGATACCATGTTTTGTTTGTCTCCATCTGTTCTGGCCATGGAGGCATTATACAGAGCTGCCGCCTGTGTGAATTTCCTACCTTCTCCTGTCCGCTTACCTCGCTCGACGTAGACGTCACCCAACCTGTACAGACAGTCGGCTTCTTTAGCCTTGTTGGGTTTACTGCGATCTGTGGGTGGGAATTAAAGATTGATCAGAACTATACACAATGGTTGTGTTTGAGTATGACAAATGATATTATGGATTTTAAAAGCTATAAACTTGTCAGCCATCTAGTATACAATGTTACTGCTTTCGATCAGTAGGAAGAAAAAACTTTTTTAACTTTAATTAATAACTATGATTAGATCATGCGTGCAAAAAAAACTGTATAACAAACCATGAACAAGTTTCGAAGCGGCTACGAGGTTCTGCTCTGCTGCGTCCAGGTCTCCATTTCCCAAGTCACGGTCCGCTGTATGGATGTACCTGCGGTATGATCTGTACAACAAAATGAGTTTTGAGGCAAACTTACATCAATAGGCGTCGCTATTTGACATAGACTATACTGCAAAGAAGATCAAACATCCATTATTAGTATTACATAAAATTAAACTACGTTATCTTATCAACGTCACACGTCAAAAATTAACGTTCTACACAGTAGAATTGATAATACATTTCTGCCAAGCAAGATGCTACTAGTAAATGGCCCCTTGTTCATGTTTTATAGTTATTTTGAATCACAAGTAAACATAGAAGCACTAACATGTCATTGTCAACTTGACAGGTGGTTCCGTCGCTAGAGGGTGCAGCTGAGAGGGCAGAGAAGTGGCCCTTTCGTCCTCTAAAGCCTTGTTGTTTCTGTGTGAACCGATAGTAAGATATGATTAACACTAAAGGTCTTCATTCATTCATTAACAGGTGGACATGTCATCCACAAAGAGCTGGTCAAAGGTAAATGAACTGACATGACCCGTGGCAGACCAACGCATGCTGAGAGTATGTTGAATACAGTTTGGGGGGAGGGGGGTATAAAATGTGATGATTGGTAGTTTACATTTAACTTTAAGGGAGAAATAAGACATATTCCATCATATTGTTAAGATGCACATATTCAGACCAAAATACACGAATCTTCACAGCTTCTTTCACTATTCTGTCGTCAAAGATTTAGTACAAAGTCCACCATAATTTTGTTCAGAATGACGTTTAAGCAAAGGTGTTAATAAATCAAAATAAGAAGTTGGTATCATTCTAGCGCAAAAAAGCCCTTGATCTGAAGCGATACGATACGTTTGACGCCATTAGCGGCACGAAATGCATGACGGGATTTATTGGGTGGGAACCCGGAAGTCAGCACTAGAGAGTCATGCTCAAGTAAAATAGTTCTCTCACCTTGTTTCTTCTGGTGATGTCTTGTCTGATCTTTGCGGTGTGCAGTAAGCGGTGAACAATGACAACTGTTCCATGAACGTTGTGACACCGCGCCAGTGCCCTGTTGTACAGAGCAGTAGCTCTGGTCAAGTCTCTAGTGTCTCCAGTTTCTGTTCCTCTTTTCAGGTACACGTCACCCAGACTCTTGATCGCTTCTGTTTCTAACATATCGTTGTCGTTTACTATCGCCTCTACCATCACCTGTGCGTATCCAACCAGCAAAGAGTCAGTGTTACCTCCGGTAGCCCGTCTCTTGTCCAGGGCTTGAAACTTTGCCGCTACCTTTGCAGGTGTAGTCGTCTCCTTGTCTTCAGTCGGCTGTTCCTTACCCTGTGACGACAGCCCTTGTAAAAGCCTCTCTGTGTAGTAGTAGCGGTGTTCTATACCATCTGCCTGTTCTTCATGGTAACACCGCACCATAGCAGCAATGTAAATAGCCAAGGCTGTGTTGAACTTCCCCTCGTCCTTCCCGAGTCTTCCCTTCTCCACGTTGACGTCGCCCAGAGTTTTGAGCAGCTCCACTTCCGCCAGCCTGTCCGTGTCGGCCATGGCGTCCACCAGGGCACGGAGGTAGCCTGTCTCCGCCCGGGCTAGTCCGTACCTCCTGCCCTTCTCGTCCGCCTCACGGAGTTTCTCACACACCCGCAACATGCCGACTTTCTGCTACGAAAATGTCTCCTAACTCCTTGTGTTCATGGTCTCCATGCTAACATTATGCACCTGACTTGAACTGGCGCAGGTTTCACACTGCCTGTGTCAACATTACGTCATCTGTCAATGCAGAGGTCAAAGCTCCAATACAAAAGCTTTGGAAATACCCGTGTCCGTAAACATATCAGGTAACCTGCCTACCTGCCTGAGCCTTAAGTGCTTCTCCGGGACATCTTGCTACCTTGACACAGTTTTTAGGCAGCCCGGTTTTTCGCTACCACTACTGTGCCTGTAGGTGCTAAAATAAGTCTAGTGTCCTCTTTAATTTATTTGGTTTTTGTACCGTTTTGGGATCTTTCAGGTGGTCTCGTGTTCGGAAAACCCTGCTGGTATACTTTCATCTTTGCCGGGGCTCTGAGATGTTATGCGAGCCCCGGCTACACCCCCATATAGCCCCTATTGGGGCACTTTAGGGGAAAATATACCTATAGTATACTTTATAGTTATATCATATCTGTACAACCAGTACAATCTGTATACAGTACCGTATATTGGTGATCAACTGGACACTTAAATTCCTATCTGGCCGTAAAATTCGCTCTACTTTACACTTATTGACTGTGCAGTTTGTTGGTCTGTACTCGTGTTTCCTGGCCCTAACTTTCTCACATTTTACCGTTTAAAATGTTGCCGTATATGTTAATCATCTGTGCTATTGAAATTGGTGGTATTGGGCATATTTCTTGCTTGGGTTAAGTTTTTTGGTGTATTTCTGGGGGGGGGGGTTCTTTCGGACGGTATCTGGGGGTAGTTTTATTTGGGAGGGGGAGAATTTGTCGTTATATCAACACTGTGATAAAAGAGTCGACATGTGATGGTGATGATGGTACTACATTGTGCCTAGTGCATACTGCCATAGGTGGTAGTGGAAAGACCGGGGAAAAACAAGACCTGTCGTGTCATCATTGTCAGCTGGTAAGAACGCACCTAGGGATAGGGCTGGTACTGTCCTTGGTGCTGATCATGCCATTCCGTGGGTACCTGGTAGATGTCGCTTCAACACAGTATCGTCACCGGCACTTATCATAAGCAAGAGGTCTGCTAAGTGACATGAGTTCACTGTCTGTCAACATGATGCAATTTTGCGGGTTAATAAAGGCCAGTATTTTAAGCTCTCTACATCTCTGGTTGTAGAACCAGTGACACAATTATAGTGAGTCTTTTGCCTACATGTCAATCAACCACTGCAATGTGTACAAATGTATGTCGAGGAAGCAAATTTTGATGTCACTGTTTGTTAAAGAATGTTAGAAAACTGTGCCAATAAGACTATATCATTCTGGATACAATAGTGACAGATTGCAGAGCTTCGTGTCTTACAGTGCGGTTACATTTGTCGTAGATCGTCGCCCAATTTTGATGTTGCAGAATTTTTTTCAGGCAAGCCGTGACAGAACCAACTACAGACAAGGATCGAAGGCAGCTTTTTCCAACATGAGACTGCATTTTTCAGGATTTCAGTTTCAGAACTATCCCAAGAATGACTTCAATTTGCGATCGTACTAGTACTGTATAATTCCTGATTTTTTCACTGTACTGTTATGTTCACTGTTTTCACTGTCACGTCTGTATTGTGAACTTATCATTACAGTTAACAAATAATTCCTGAATGTTCATGTTCTTTTTCCTGCACCGTGAATATACAGATTGCCGAACATTGTACTGTAAAACCTGTAACACTGTGATATTGTAAAAAAGGGAAACCCTTCACGTTATTGTTGTTGTTTCTTTTACATTTGTTCATAAAGTAAAAGGCAAATGTAACATCAAAAGTTGGCTTCAGGTCTAAACAATAAACACACATTGTGACGTATACTTTATTGTTTGCATAGCGTTGTACTGTAAAACCTGTAAAGATATACTAAAGAAGGGAAACCCTTCACTTAATTGTTGTTGTTTCTTTTACATTTGTTCATAAAGTAAAAGGCAAACGTAACATCAAAAGTCGTTTCAGGCTTTTTAAAGATTAATGTCGAAAAGGTTTTTGCGTATCTTTTGCAAATTAGAAAGTGCTTGAAGAATGGAATCCTCCACCCTCCTTGCCTTTACCTTTGCACACTTGTAATCTGCAATTTGAGAGATCTTCCCAAAGAATCATCCCAAAACACAAGGCCATGATACAGAAAACCCATTAAAGATCCATTCATAACTATAACCTTAGGACTAGTCCTGTCCCCCATGTTGATCATCCGCATCTTTCATCCACCATAACTTCTGTTCATTCATTCATTCATTCATTCATTCATTCATTCATTCACTCACTATCACTCGCTCACTCACTCACTCACTCACACTACTCACTCTCACTACTCATTCACTCACTCATTCACTCTCTCACTCATTCACTCACTCACTCACTCACACTCACTCATTTCATTGAGCTTACTCGGAACTCATATACATGCATGACTTTGTTTCCTTTATTCTTTTTAGTGCTAATCCCTAGATATATTCTAGATATAGAACACAAAGGAATTGTCCAAATGGCTGCCTACTTACAATGAGTGCAAGAAATTCCACCAAAGACAACAAGTATATCTAATAGTCTCCCTACGCAATACACAGTCTTGCAAAGTACATTAATTACCCTTATTATGTAGTAGAAGCTGCTATACTTACATAGTAAGCAATTTGTGACAGAGATAGCTAAGTATTGACATGATATGGCATGACAGATTGGAGATGTTCAGTAGTGTCTCCATAGTTAGCTAAACCTGAGTAATGATTTGCTATAACTACTATTACTAACGGCTTTACTCTACTCGCGGAGGGCACTTTTACATAGTCTGATATTGTTCAGTACTGTTGCCACGTTGGGATGTGCCAGATTGTCCCTATAGGTAACTTTCATCATATTCAACGACTGTTGGTAATAGCTGAGGGCTTTACTGTGATCACCGAGTTTGTGCCAGTAGGTTCCAATGTTGTGTAGTGATGAAGCAATGTCGGGATGTGGCGTTGTTTCACCATACATAGCTTTCCTCATCTTCAGTGACTGTTCGTAATAACTGATAGCTTTCCTCTGATCACCAAGGTCACTCCAACATGCCCCAATGTTGTTTAGTGATGATGCAATGTCGGGATGTGGCGTTGTTTCCCCATAGATAGCTTTCCACATCTTCAGTGACTGTTCGTAATAACTAATAGCTTTCCTCTGATCGCCAAGGTGACTCCAACAGTTACCAATGTTGTTTAGTGATGGAGCAATGTTGGGATGTGGCGTTGTTTCGCCATAGATAGCTTTCATCATCTTCAGTGACTGTTCGTAATAACTGATAGCTTTCCTCTGATCGCCAAGGTGACTCCAACAGTTACCAATGTTGTTTAGTGAAGAAGCAATGTTGGGATGTGGCGTTGTTTCCCCATAGATAGCTTTCATCATCTTCAGTGACTGTTCGTAATAACTGATAGCTTTCCTCCGATCACCAAGGTCACTCCAACAGTTCCCAATGTTGTTTAGTGATGATGCAATGTCGGGATGTGGCGTTGTTTCACCATAGATAGCTTTCTTCATCTTCAGTGACTGTTCGTAATAACTGATAGCTTTCCTCTGATCGCCAAGGTCAATCCAACATGCCCCAATGTTGTTTAGTGATGATGCAATGTTGGGATGTGGCGTTGTTTCACCATAGATAGCTTTCTCCATCTTCAGTGACTGTTCGTAATAACTGATAGCTTTCCTCCGATCGCCTCGGTCACTCCAACATTTCCCAATGTTGTTCAGTGATGATGCAATGTTGGGATGTGGCGTTGTTTCACCATAGATAGCTTTCATCATCTTCAGTGACTGTTCGAAATAACTGATAGCTTTCGTCTGATCACCAAGGTGACTCCAACATGTCCCAATGTTGTTTAGTGATGAGGCAATGTCGGGATGTGGCATTGTTTCGCCATAGATAGCTTTCTTCATCTTCAGTGACTGTTCGTGATAACTGATAGCTTTCCTGTGATCACCAAGGTCACTCCAACATGTCCCAATGTTGTTTAGTGATGATGCAATGTCGGGATGTTGCATTGTTTCGCCATAGATAGCTTTCTTCATCTTCAGTGACTGTTCGTGATAACTGATAGCTTTCCTGTGATCACCAAGGCCATTCCAACAAGTCCCAATGTTTCCAAGTAACGAGTAAAATTCTGGATGCATTTCGGTGCCTGCATAGATATTATTTCCAGCGCTCAGTGCCCGTTCGTAGTAGATCTTCGCTTTCTCATAGTCACCGCGACTGTGTGAGACACTGCCTAACGCCCAAAGTATGTCAAACTCCTTTTCGTCGTCACCACCCGCTTCTTCAAGTGCTGCCTCGAAGTGACGTGTGGATGCTTCTAACTGCAACAGCTGTTTTGTTATTAGACCCCTGGTTTGAGCTGAGTTGTCAAAGATGGCAGTTGGGAATATCTTTGCTGTTCGATTATCCCTTTCAACTGTAACTACAATGCATCTTTTTAATGGAATGGCTGTATAGTAGTACCTGAACAACATTTTAGAGTTTGGTATGTGGAAAACTGACTCAACGATGGTGCCATCTACGTCAAGTTTGTCTAGTTGGACTTTCATCTCCGTGAGAGGAGACAGTCTGTCCTTCTGTCCTCCGTTGGCAAAGTACGTTCTTAACCGTAGCTCCGCTGAGATGCTGATCAGTACAGTCAAGTGGTGGGCTTCTTCGTGACTGATCCGCTGTGTCTTGTGTAACTCTTCTATCATTCCCCACACACTGGAGATCGTGATACCACAGCAAATACTCAACACATCAACGGCCACGCTGGGAAAACGGTAGATTTCCTTTTTCACATCCAGAAGCTGCCCAGTTGGTTCAACGTTTTCTATTTGTCGAATATTATCATTCAGTATTAGCATTGCGGACAACCGTGACAGAACAGGGGAACGGTCTACGCTTTTTTTAACAATGCTTGTATACTCATCTACCAAAGACTTGTCCCCTGTTAAGTAGCTCACCCGTCTGAGGATGTCTGACAGGTGATAGCCTTCCGCCAGGGCGATGTGCAGATGCTGATATTCGGCCAACTCGGCAGGAATCTGAATGAGACTAACTGGAGGTTTGGTTTTGGTTTCATCTCTTCCAAACGGAGTCTTAGAAGCCCATGGCATGAAGCCGTCGAAGGCGAAGCCGCGAGGTGTGACGGAGTCGAAGAACCAGTCTTTCTCTGGGTCTTCTGAGAGAAAGTCGTTTAGTGACGGGATGGCCATGGCTGGGAGGATGGTTTCCCCAAGGTTGATGACTTTGAGATGTAAGTAGTGTGTGAGATTTAGGAAGTACCTCCGTGTATCATCATCATCCTTCCCCTCTTCAATCAGAATGGCGAACTCCAGATCGGAGTACGGCGTCACCAGTTCTGTGGCCTGTGACCCCAACCCGATGAAAGCGTACTTACAGGGTGGAGGTCCTAGTTTGGCAATGCATTCGTCTGTCAGTACTTGGATAAACTCTCGTCTTTCAACTGTGATGCTCTTGAACAAGTTCTTGATTACTTCAGCTCGTTTGATCTCTACCTCTCTCACGACGGGATCGTCTTCATCATACTGATAAGGGTTGTGTTCCTGATGAATTGTTTCGAGCTGAGATTTTGCACGTGCGCGCGAGTTGTGCAGTTCCTTTCTGTGATCTAACGCGCTGCTATACGGACACGGTTCACTGTCAAGGTTACATGTGTTTCTCAGAAATCGCCTTTCTGTTTCTTGCATTTTTGTTACCAAGTTTTGTTTTTCTCCATGTGTTCTGGCCATGGAGGCGTTATACAGAGCTGCCGCCTGTGTGAATTTCCTACCTTCTCCTGTCCGCTTACCTCGCTCGACGTAGACGTCACCCAACCTGTACAGACAGTCGGCTTCTTTGGCCTTGTTGGGTTTACTGCGATCTGTGGGTGGGAATTAAAGATTGTCAGAACTATACGCAATGGTTGTGTTTGAGTATGACAAATGATATTATGGATTTCAAAAGCTATAAACTTGTCTGCCATCTAGTATACAATCTTACTGCTTACGATCAGTAGGAAGAAAAACATTTTTTAACTTTAAGTAATAACTATGATTAGACAATGTTTGCAAAAAAAAACTGTATAACAAACCATGAACAAGTTTCAGAGCGGCTACGAGGTTCTGCTCTGCTGCGTCCAGGTCTCCATTTCCAAAGTCACGGTCTGCTGTCTGGATGTACCTGCGGTAGGATCTGTACAACAAAATGAGTTTTGAGGCAAACTTACATCAATAGGCGTCGCTATTTGACATAGACTATACTGCAAAGAAGATCAAACATCCATTATTAGTATTACATAAAATTAAACTTATCAACGTCACACGTCACAAATTAACGTTCTACACAGTAGAAATTGATAATACATTTCTGCCAAGCAAGATGCTACTAGTAAATGGCCCCTTGTTCATGTTTTATAGTTATTTTGAATCACAAGTAAACATAGAAGCACTAACGTGTCATTGTCAACTTGACCGGTGGTTCCGTCGCTAGAGGGTGCAGCTGAGAGGGCAGAGAAGTGACCCTTTCGTCCTCTAAAGCCTTGTTGTTTCTGCGTGAACCGATAGTAAGATATGATTAACAGGTGGTCATGTAATCCACAAAGAGCTGGTCAAAGGTAAATGAACTGACATGACCCGTGGCAGACCAACGCATGCTGAGAGTATGTTGAATACAGTTTGGGGGGAGGGGGTATAAAATGTGATGATTGGTAGTTTACATTTAACTTTAAGGGAGAAATAAGACATATTCCATCATATTGTTAAGATGTACACATTCAGACCAAAATACACGAATCTTCACAGCTTCTTTCACTATTCTGTCGTCAAAGATTTAGTACAAAGTCCACCATACTTTTGTTCAGAATGACGTTTAAGCAAAGGCGTTAATAAATCAAAATAAGAAGTTGGTATCATTCTAGCGCAAAAAAAGCCCTTGACCTTAAGCGACACGATACGCTTTACGCTTAGCGACACGAAATGCATGACGGCATTTATGGAGCTAAGCAAACCAAGTGGGAACCCGGAAGTCAGCACTGCCAAGTTCCGTCATGCTCAAGTCAAAATAGTTCACTCACCTTGTTCCTTATGGCGATATCTTGCCTGATTTTTGCGGTGTGCAGTAAGCGGTGAACAATGACAACTGTTCCATGAACGTTGTGACACCGCGCCAGTGCCCTGTTGTACAGAGCAGTAGCTCTGGTAAAGTCTCTGGTGTCTCCAGTTTCTGTTCCTCTTTTCAGGTACACGTCACCCAGACTCTTGATCGCTTCTGTTTCTAACATGCTGTCGTCTTTTACTATCGCCTCTACCATCACCTGTGCGTATCCAACCAGCAAAGAGTCTGTGTTGCCTCCGGTAGCCCGTCTCTTGTCCAGATCTTGGAACTTTGCCGCTACCTTTGCAGGTGTAGTCGTCTCCGTGTCTTCAGTTAGCTGTTCCTTACCCTGTGACGACAGCCCTTGTACAAGCCTCTCCGTGTAGTGGTAGCGGTGTTTTATACCATCTGCCTGTTCTTCATGGTAACACCGCACCATAGCAGCAATGTAAAACGCCAAGGCCGTGTTGAACTTCCCCACGTCCTTCCCGAGTCTTCCCTTCTCCACGTTCACGTCGCCCAGAGTTTTGAGCAGCTCCACTTCCGCCAGCCTGTCCGTGTCGGCCATGGCGTCCACCAGGGCACGGAGGTAGCCTGTCTCCGCCCGGGCTAGTCCGTACCTCCTGCCCTTCTCGTCCGCCTCACGGAGTTTCTCACACACCCGCAACATGGCGACCCTCCGCTGAGAGAACGTCTGTAAAACTGTTCCCCGTTCCCCGTGTTGGCTTTATGCGCGTGACTCGAGCAAACACAGGTCTGGACAAACATCCCGTGTCAGCATTACATCATCCGCCAGCCGATAACAAAGTTCAAAAGTCCAGTACTCCTACTAAAACATCGCGTAAGCATGTCAGGTAGCGTGTTGTATCAGTTGGTTTAATGTTATGTTATTTATTTCTCCGCACGGAGTTTCTCACAAATCCACAGCGTTTTTTCTTTATATCCCAACATTTCATGACTAAACATGGTGACGGCACACAGTTAAGTTATAACTTATCTTATGCCGCCACCAATGCACAGGAAGAAAAGGACTGAAAAATACTCATTTTTACATGAGTTAAGTGAGGAAAGTCGTGTTAAGTGCATTTCCCAAGAGCACAATATAGGTGGCATGTCAGGACTCGGACCCGGGACCTCTTGGTTCTAAGTCGAGCACATACGCCGCACTACCCCGCATTGTTTTACCTCTGCTTATATGTGGTAATGAAAATATTGTGGAAAAACAAGGACTTTCATGTCATCATTGTCTGCTGGTAAGAACGCACATAAGGGTAGGGCTGGTGCTGTCCTTGGTGCTGATCATGTCATTCCACAGGCACCTGCTAGATGGCGCTTTCACACACTATAGCTCCTTTTAGATCGACACAAGTCACGGCAGATGTGGCAGTTATTAATCCTCAACAGTCCCCAATTGACAGCTATGGGGGCGGCTAAAATGAAACTTCATGCAACTTTATTTGAATAACCATTAACATTAATAAAAATCATACGAAAATTTTCAATATCTGCTTGCCTATTACAACTGACCAGGGATCTTAACAATTCAGAAATAAGGAGACAACGAAGACACATTTTAATCTGCAAGACATTGTTTTAATCACAAAACGTTTGACTGTCTGAAGTCTGTCTATCCTCTCAGTTCAGTCCAGGGCCCTAAGAGGACCATGGTCTTATAGGCGAGGAAGAAACGTTCTAGCTTCACTAAATACTGTATTTTTGGAACTTCGATGGGTTGCTACTTTTTCAGGCAAAGGTCTGTCTGTGATTGTCATAAACGGCTTAACATTTCAGTCAGAATGCTTGGCTTAGTTTGAGTTTCTAGCCAGCTCGGGTTTTGCCGTTGCTCTCTACAGGCATGTGACGAGGGTAGCCCAGTTGCAGAAGCCCAGGTTCTGGTCGAAGTGCTTTGAGCACATGCTCTGACCAGAGGTCATAGCAAATATCTCAGAAATTCAGAAACAAGAAGACGACAAGGCCACATCTTAAGTTGCAAGACATCATTTTAATCACATTTTACAGTCTGAAGTCCAGGCCCACAAGAGGACCATGGCCTTATAGGCAAAGTACTGGATTTACTAAATATTGTATTTTTGCAAATTCAATAGACCCCTTTTACAACAAAGCTACGTCTTTGATTGTGGTAGGCGGTTTGACTTTTCAGTCGGACTGTTTGGCTTAGTTTGGGTTCCCGGCGTTGCCATCTACAGGCATGTGACGAGGTTGGCCCAGTTGCAGTAGCCACCAGTCTGGTCGAAGTGCAGCCCGGCTGGGCAGGTGTTGATGCCGTCATACTGCAGGCCGCCCTCCGCGCAGGTGAAGAACTTGGAGCAGTCGTCGGGGTGTTGGTACACGCCGGCCGGCTTCCCCGTGCAGCGCGACTCTGGGGTGGACGAAAGGTAGAAATAGTTCTCAGTTACATTTTTAAAGTTAAAACTTTTGGTCCAACACAAAAAATTCTCTCACTCTGGTCTTCCTCAGTAGACTTACCCTTAGACAGGGTCAGTCTACTGAGGAAGACCAGAGTGACTGGTCGAGAGCTTTAGGTGAGAGAATTTTTTGTGTTAGACCAAAAGTTTTAACTTTAAACATGTAACTACCAACACAGATGAACTTTCATGATAGTTCGCAGGCTGTGTTAAATCTCTCGCTGCCAGTGGCTGATCGGGCCCCCACTCCGAGAGCTTATGACCTTACATCTCTACATCTCGGCCTGTGGTACGCAGCCTCTCGCTGTCAGGGGCTGGTTGGGCCTTGTACACTAGACCTTGTTCCATGGATATACCTCTAGTAGATCAAGAGAACCATTCCCAGAAGTACTAAGCCCAATTCGTATTCCAGATATGAAATTATAATGCACTGTTTAAAAGCAAAGCAAGGGCCACAAAGCATGTCTTTGAATCATTTGAGGGTGCAATTGATTAATTATCCCAAGTGTAGGTTTACTTCATCACTTTAGCGATGTATATTTGAGCTTTAACTCTATTTAGCCCGGGGGGGGGGGCTTTGAGGCCTGCGCAAACTTTCATGTCAGATAGCGCATGAACGGCTTGCGCTAGAACCATCAAATTTGGTGACTTCTAAAATATATTTGGGAACAATTTCATCTTAATTAGATGATTTAATGAATTTTCGTGTTGCCATGGCAACGGGTATCTGACGGGCAGTTTTTGGAAAATTCAGTAATTTTGGTTTAAACGGCCACTGACTTAGTAAACTTTAATATTCCATCTTAGACACTTTTTGTTAAAGTTTGGTTTTATTCCTCTTAGTTTTCCGGAAAACTTTTTTTTGACGGTTTTGCCCCAAAAATCACAGACATGACGTCATGAAGCCCGGTCTGAATAGGGCTATGCAATACACTCAGACAGAACGTTACTGTCAAATGAAGGACGTCCATCCACATCAAGGATTGTGAACAGAGGGAATAAATAATAATAATAATAACCTTTATTGTACATTCATGCCCTACCGGGCTAAGTACAGGCGAACAGATGAAATGGGTAATATATGTTTGTTGTACAAACAGCTCTAAATCTACTCTAATAAAGAAGTTCGGCTTCTTTTCGTTTCTTTGTGATGTTAAGAATATAATTTGAAATGGGTTTGTATAATACAGGATGATCAAAGCGCATAAGAAAGATAATTTTTTTTCAATATAAGGCAAGTATTGGAAGTATGGAAACGAAAGAACCCACCGACGGCTAGAGCCACGGACTGAGCGTCCACTCCGCTGCCGCGAGAGGTGTAGGTATTGTCCTCTACCTGGCACCAGTACCTGGAGTTGTTTGAAAATAAAACAGCAATTTTGAAAACAAATGTGAAAAACAACAACAACAGGAATGACTCGGATGACAGTGTTCATCATGTACAAAATAATAACCCCTTTAAGAATAGATTCTAATCGGCTAGGCTGTATTTTATTGGAGTGAAGTGCAGTGAAGTGAGGAAAGCCGCGTAGAGTGTCTTTTCCAAGGGCACAAGATTAGTGACATCGGGCAGTACATATCGGGCAGGATTCAAACCCAAGACCTCTGGGTTCTGAGTTTAACACTCTGTCGTTGGGCTACACATTATAATTTTCACCACCACATGTCCTACACGTTTTAAAAAACAATGGTAGCATATACATTCATAATACAAAATAAGTCCTAAAATGGGTGAAAGGCACTACTAACCTAAATATCTAAATGCCATTGGGTATTTTTTTCCCAAACACTACACACACACATGCAGGTCTGTGCGACTTCCAGGGTCTAACACACCACATACCTGCGATTGTCCTCCCGCCTGGTTGCTGCGATCTTCAGTGTGCCGGCCGCCAGCTCGAAGTGGCCCTGGAAGGACGGGGTGACGGTGGCGGTACCTCCATGGCACTGGTGGCTCATGCACGCAGTCTCGGTGGCGATCAACTCCTCTGTAGCCGCCCAGGTGTTGTCAAAGGACACCTTAATCAAAGGAAGAATAAAGTTATTATTTTTAGCCTCTACCAGGCTTCAGAAGCGGCTGGAAAAAAGTAATTAAACAAATGTCATACACGCCAGGGGAGTTAGTCCACCAAAGTACGTACATACTCCTTAATTAGCGGACCAACTCCCCTGGCATGTTTTCCGCCGTCTATGTGGTCAAATTGTACCCTTTACAGCCACTTCTGAAGCCTGATAGGGTTAGTATGTTTTACGGGGAAGCGTATCCACGCAGAGGTTTGGGCTATTATTAGACCTTTTTTATCGGGGTTTCTTTCTTGCACTGGAATTTTTTCGCAGTTCGTTGGGTTGGGTAAAAAAAAACTTGGAGAGTAGGGAAGCTACAATGAGATCGTGCTGCAGGCGAACAGGCTCATTTTCCCACAGCGCGGCAGAGCGATCTCGCGGCAAATACCTTTGGATTTGGTGATTCTGTAAGACTATTTACGTCAAGGAAGCACCTCTGCCTCGGCAGAATGTCACAGGCTGGCCTCCAGGCCATGTCTCACCGTGAACAAATACTTGGTGACGAAGAGAATGTACTAAATCTACTTAGACTGGCATCCAGGCTAGCATGTGATATGTGACATATGTCTCACTGTGAACCAGGACTTGGTGCTTGTCCAGTGGCAGTCGTCGCACTCGCACGGCAGCACCACCTCGTCTCCCTCGTACACCTGTCTCTGGGCGGGCACGCGCACCTCGACATGCCCTGGCCGTCCCGCTCCCTGGTCCTGCTGCACGAACGGATCTGGGGAGAGGGCATAATAGATGAACTTTTGTTGCTAGCTGCCACCGCGCCGCGTGCCTGCGAAAGCTGGTGTGTTATAACAAGGAGCTTTCCTTTGTTACACCAGAGTAGGGAAGCTACAATGAGATCGTGCTGCAGCCAGATTCTGGGCGGGAACGCGCAGCTCGACATGTCCCGGCCGTCCCGTACCCTGGTCCTGCTGCACGTTCGGATCTGAGGGGAGGGCAAGATGGAAGGCCTTTGTTGGACGACATGTTGTAGCAGACACACACACACACACACACACACACACACACACACACACACACACACACAAACACAAACATATCTTACCTTGGTGCTGAACGCCATCCACACACGCACAGGCATGCACGCACGCACGCACGCACGCACGACACACACACACACACACACACACACACACACACACACACACACTCACACACAAACACACACACACGCACACACACACTCACACTAAAACACACACACACACATAAACTCACATACACAGACAGAGTTCGAACGCGTTTCACGTGTGCTCAATGCACCGCTTTCAAAAACCGCTTTTGAATACCGGATTCGGACTAGCTTACCATTTTGTTTATAGACCAAATTTTGGCAAATTTCGCATTGTACATCTACGTACATGGTAAAAGTAGTACCGACCTATGACCGTGAGCAGGACGGACTTGGAGTCCATGCCGAGCTGGTTGTGTTGGTCGGAGTCGAACACGGCGCACCAGTAGCGGCCATTGTCCGCCACCGTCACCCCGCGGAGCGTCAGGGTGGCCTCGGCGGGGTTCTCCAGGGTTACCCGCCCGGTGTAGTCCCCGTAACCCTCCGGTACCTGCACCGCGCCTTGGTACGACAAGGAGAAGATCTTGGTGGCAGTAGAGATGCCGGCGTCTCCCTGAAACACATGGAAAGTGTCACTTACCAATGATCGTGAATGCCAGATTTGAGCAGCTACGATGTAGATGGTGATAAATGCCAACTATAGGCTGTATTTTGCAGGACACAATCACGACTGTCCCAAGAATACCGTCCGTTTGTGACGGTACGTTTTTGATCGTACGAAAATCGTACGACAACCGTACAACAACCGTACGACAAACGTACGACAATCGTACGACAATCTTACCACAATCGTACCACAATCTTACGACAATCGAACCACAACCGTACGACAACCGTACCACAATTGAACGGCAATCGTATCACAATCGTACGACAATCTTACCACAATCATACGACAATCGCACGACAATGGTACGTCGATCTTACGACGAATGACGCGACTGCGCCGTCAGTTGGAAGACTCTCACCTTGTACCAGTTGATGGTCGGCTTCAGTCCAGAGGCCGCATCCGGGATACTGTAGGTGCAGGGCAGTTTTGCGTCACTTCCGGCGTTGGCCGTCACTTCCGGGCTTGGCACTGTCACCGTCATGATTCGAACTGAAGATCTCCAAGTAGCTCCTACGGTGGTAAAGACAGGAACAATAAAAAAAGTTAGTCTCCACCAGACACACCATATAGTGGAATTTGGCAAAAAAAGGTAAATAATAAAGGTAATAAAGGGAGACGCGATAAGGGTAACTGCGTGAAACTGCATGACTTCTGTGCTGGCCAAACTTCTCTTCGCAACCAATTATTCTCCGTATTTGGCTAGATATTATAATGTTTGAGGCCCCGTTGTTAGTCTGGTTGAGACTAAAAACAAGGTAATCAAGAGAATTGCCTTGTAATAAACTAATAACAATATGGGATCTTCAGTGGGAACATTTTACGACATAGTGTTGTACAACGACTCATCAGAAATTATTTGTAAACTTGAAACACCATCAACTACAGTATATTCACACACATTTACTCCTTAAATTAAGCATGTCTTTTTTAAAAGAAAAAGAAGACCTGACCTGCCAGTGTCACTGTTAGGACGATACACAGGGCAAGGGGTGTGAACGTCGCCATCTTCTGGATTTTCTGAAACCTGTATGAATAAATACTGTCATTTGTAACTATCATATAACCCAATAAGTTAGAATTTAGTGTTTAGTAGTTATAGTCACACCCATATAATAGTGTTATCCGTTGTCCATTCTTTATCTTCATTTTACATGTATTTGTAATGTCCAGGCAAGAACTTGCAATAAATTTCTCCCCTATATCCAGAACCGTGTCTGTCTAGTTCTATGCGTGAATTGGTTAGGGTTAGGATCAGGCACGGTTCTGGATATTAGTCTCTGTGTATCCAAGACCGTAGATGCGCCTATGCACGGTTCTGGATAAGCGTGGACTGTCCAGAACCGTGTCTTGTTAAAGAAAATGGTGTCTTCGATCCTTGTCAACGGTTGGTTCTGTCACAGCCTTAGCTTCTTAAAATCTCTTCTTCTTTCTTCTTTGGCAGTTCAGTAAAAACTCTACGACATCAAAATCTTACGGTGATCTTGGACGAATGTGACCTTCGCAGCGTTTCGAGAAAGGCCGTGTGAACCTCACAATTTATATAGCAGAAACAACGACAGAACGTATATCGCAATCTAGCCTATACCAGGCTTCAGAGGTGGCAGGAAAGAGTAGATATTGACCAAACAGATAACATGCCAGGGGAGTATAGTTTGCTGCTCCCTGTACTTCTTTAACGGACCGACTCCCCTGCCATGTTATCTCTCTATCTAGCCAATTTCTACTCTTTCCAGCCGCCACTTAAGCTTGGTAGAGGCAAATTGCAATCAACTATCCAGCTACGACTATTGTATACAGAACTATACATTTCCGACTGGAGACAACGCAGGTAACTCGACATCTAGAAACAGTGGACAACTTACCTTCAGTGATCGGCCTTTGACTTCATCAAATGTGTTAATTTACTCTCAGTGTTCAGTGTCTTATATACTCCAACTCACGTGACATATGACGTAAGGGTGTTCTTGCATCACTCTAATCCTGGCTACTGTAAATCGCGAAACTTTCGCGACGGTTTTATTTTCGCGATGAATTCCCCACCGCGAATTTACAATGCCGCGAATATATCTTACCTATATGACTTTTGTACTACAAAGAATTTTTTCAACCGCGAATTTAGAACACCGCGAAATCTTCCATCGCGAAATTAAGTCACAGCGAAAGTTTCACGATATACAGTAACTGGATATGTTAATCTAATAAAGTAATATTTGGCAACAACAAGGAGCATGTGACTCATATGTAACATATGTTCATGATACTGTCGAGTTCGGTATATTTGTCCAACACTCATCATTCGTGCGTAGCTTCAGAACAGATGAATGTTGTTTGATTTATAATTCAACGGGGATGAAAAATAGGAAACAAGCAATTTTGTCCAACAAGTGGCAGGATATTGGCAGGACGGCTGTCAAGCATCTGCAAATGTCAAACTGTTGTTTGATGTCAAATACTACATTCTGAGCTGACGACTTGGTGTGACTTTGTGTAAGCTGTTTGGAATTCTGGCGAATTTTAATAAAAGGATCTCAGGGACACTCCTTTGGTAGACAAAATAAATCAAAAGTCATTTTTTTGTATCACTGCACCGGTCTTTCATAGTAAACATATCTGACGACGGTTTGAAGTTATCGCTTACCTAAATACCATAGCTACTAACCACCGTCTTGCCTTATAATTATTATTTATACATGTGACGCTACCGCGGAAAAAATGGTAGATAGTGCTATCTCTGCTTAGTACTCAGCATTTGGGAAAAAGTATATATGTTACACATGTAGTTCAACATACACCACTACCAGTGCACTAGCCACCCTGCTGTAGTAATTTCACATAGATGTGCAATACTGTCATATCACTAGTCATGCTTCATCTTTCCTAAACCTTATCTGTAAAAAGTCAGAAGGTTTGCTTGGTACAAAATAATGTAATAATGTACGTGAGGGATCGACCGTTGTAAGTTTGTACGTAAACTCTTTGCAATTCAGAGAGTCTCATCCCTGCTGTAATAAGGTTTGCTTTTTGGTGTCACGAATAAAGAATTTTCATTTCATACGTGGCCCAAGAACTATTAAAACCGAGATGGGCGCCGCCCTATACACCGTATGGTGTGGGAAGGACTTTGCTATCTATTTTACTGCCCATCCTTATGCTATGGCCGATGATTCATTGCAAGCATGGCAGAAATTGCTGAATGGATTTTACTGTAACCATTCTCAACTGTTTAGATGACTGTTGATGATTCATATTGTAATCCGTCAGAAGCAAATAATATTCCGTCATTTAAGTGTTGATTACACAAAATAACCCGTGCTAATCAAGACATCTGGTGGCCGGTCAGGATGTAATTATGATTGATCTGTCTGTTTGACAGACACTTCAACGATGTCCTGTAGGCAAATTGTTGTCTTTCTGATTTCAGTCTTGACAAAAAGTAAGGATTTCGGCTGTGATGCAACAAATATAGTTGAACAGTGTGAAACTGGCATCCATTAGCATTAGACAAACTGGGGAAGAGACAAATATTTCATCCGATCGTTTCAGTTGAAAATAGCCCCCTAAAGATGCATAGAATCGCGTTTCAAAGTCAAATTGAAAGTATTAGGGCCTTGCTAGCAGTCGACATAAAAGGGCGAAGACCCTTGTAAACGTTATTTTAAACGTTAGAGATTTTTTCTAGGGTCGCTCGGCAACCTGAAATTTGACATTTTCCTGGGCCTAAACACGTCATTCATAGTACTTACCGGTAGTCAGAACAGCAGTTACGTGAAAAAGATAAATTACATCAAGAAAACTCGACTTCTTCCCCTGTTTGTAAATTGTTAAGATCACACGTGGGCGGATTGGGACATCAAACCACTTGATCTTTCACGCACGCATTTTGGGGAACTAACTTTCAACTCAAAGAAGGAAATAGTCACTACAGGAATATAATATTATACTGATATTATTTGTACAAGGACCAAACCGGGCACGTTGGGATGCCACGTGTAACAGTTAATGATAATGGATTTCGGGTTATATAAGACGGTTGGATAGAGAAGATTGTCCTCATTCTCTGTTGAGAACACCTGACACGGTTACCCGGCCGAGTTCAGTTCGATCCACGTCACAAGTAAGTGGGCGATTCTTGTGTTGCATGACTGTTCATAGTATCTAGAACTGTGGCTGTCTAGTTCTATGTCTGAATGGGTTAGGGTTAGGGTTAGGATCAGGAATGGTTTTGGATAGTCTGTATAGTAGAACTGTACCTATCTAGTGCTGTGCCTGAAAGGGTTAAGGTTAGGGTTAGGTTCTGGATAGTCTCTATTGTATCCAGAACTGTACCTATTTAGCTCTATGCCTGAATGGGTTACTGTTAGAATCAGGCATGGTTCTGGATAGTCTCTATTGTACCCAGAACCGTGCCTATATAGTTCTGGCCTGAATGGGTTAGGGTTAGGGTTTTGGATTAGGCACGGTTTTGGATAGTCTCCGCGTATCCAAGAACTTAGATTTGCCGTATCCAAAAGCTTAGATGTGGACTATCAAGATCCTTGCAATAGCATGGTTCTGGATGAAGCGCGGTTTTGGATACAACATCCCCTTGCCATTCCATCCTTCTATACACATTTATCTGTTCCAAAGTAGTTGTTGTATTTCTATATTGACAATAGATTGTGTTCATCTACCACTTCCAGCCTAACCTACAAGCATGAAGCTGGTACTCGGCTTGCTAGTTCTTGCGGTCGGGGGTAAGTTACATATAATTTTACTACAATGTTAACATTATTCATTCCCCACTTTTGTACAATCTATAGCTGTGCACAATGATGTCCACCTTTAACGAATGAATGAAGTTTTTTTCCAAAAATTCATGCCCGAGGGCTAATTGCAGCATACAATGTGTACAACATAATACAGGAAGAAACTTACAATTATGACATGTACTTATTCCCATCATTTACCAATGAAGAATCATAGTATATTGCGTATAGATTATGAAAATTAACCCCTAATATTTGCATAATGTTTTCACATGTTAACGATTTTTTTTTGCTTCTGTACAGCGCGTGCCATCACCATAGTGACGGTCACGACCCCTGAACCCAAGGTCGAGGGTGTGGTGGGGGGGTCCGTCGAGCTGAAGTGCGAGTTTGACATCAAGCCGAACTCCACACAGCCTCCTACCATCGCCTGGTTCAAGGTAACGTTTCTGTTTCTCCTTATCTCTCGAGAGTGTTTGTGCGAGTTTGTGTGTAACTATACATATGTGTGGGAGGGAGATGGTGTTCAGCACCAAGGACAGTCATGTTGGCTGTATGAGTGTGTGTGTGTGTGTGTGTGTGTGTGTGTGTGTGTGTGTGTGTGTGTGTGTGTGTGTGTGTGTGTGTGTCTGTCTGTCTATATGTCTGTTTCTCGTATGTGTGTATCTGCACATAGTGTTCAGCACCAAGGACAGGCATGTTGTCTGTATGTTGAGTGTTCAGCACCAAGGACAGGTTGCCTGTTTGTGTGTGTGTGTGGTTGTACATACGCCTTCACGATGCGGTATAATATCCGAATAAATTGCATCAGTCAACAAAGTCCCCCCTGAGTTCCCAACACAATTTCAGGTCGTCTGAAATCTCCGATTCCTTGTTGTTGTCTTCGTGTATCTTTGTGTGTGTGGGTGTATTCGTCGATGTTTTTTCAGGGCTTTAGTAAAGTAAAATTAATATTGTGGGAGTCTCTTAGTTTCTTTCTTCCTTTTTTTTTCTTTTTAGATTTTGGCAGTTATCAAAGAAATATACTTTAACAATATAAAGTTGAAATGCGTCAACGTGTTCTTCGGTGTCTTGCCCAGGGCAATACCGACTTCCGTGGCGCGGAGAGGATCTACACCGGCCACAAGGTGTGGGGGAATGAGAGCTACCGGCGGGAGGACAGCTGAATAAAACACACCATTCAACCCCTATCCCTATCCCAAAACACTTCCTGGACTGCTGATAACGTAGTATTTTTTTTCAGGGAAATGCGGACTTTCGTGATGCGGAGAGGATCTACAATGGGCACAAGGTGTGGGGGAACCGACTCGAAGACTTCGGAGACTACATCTGTACCACCTGGACTGCTGACAACGTAGTACACGTACTACAAAAACTCTTCCTAAAATCTATTCTCTGATCTGTTTTCATAGGGCAACACCGACTTCCGTGGCGCAGAGAGGATCTACACCGGGCACAAGGTGTGGGGGAACGAGAGCCACCGGCGCGAGGACAGCTTCGGCGACTACTTCGGCCGCGTGGAGGTGGCCGACCTGGACAATCCTGCCATTAAGATCATCGGACTCAGGGTACACCTTGTGTGCTTGATAAAGTTTACCTTCGCAGAATGAAAACATATCGTTTTTGCTCAGTTTCTTCCTGTTCGTATTCTTCTCAAAACAAGGTCAATGACCTGGACCAGACGTCTGTCACCATGGTAACTTGTGTTGTTGCAAACACCCTGCGGTGTTGAGTTACATTATGCAGACAGAGTAGGAGAGGCTGGTCTACATATTATATATGAATGTGTATGAGTAAGGATAAGCAGAGCAGCAGTTTGTTATAATTAGGCTAGACCATGTAAAGGTAAACATTATGCCTTTGCTTTGCAAATGTTACCTTTCTAGTTTACTCTGTGGCTAAGCTACGTGTTACTGCTAACAGTTTGGTCCCAAACGTAAATATTATATTGTTGTAAGATTTGAGAATCACTGCACAAACTTGTCCCCTCCAGACTACTGACTTTGCTCGGTACTGGTGCACCGTGGCGGAGTGGGGAGCGCACACGGAGTTCGGACTGGACGCCAAGTCCGTTCTGTTGACTCAACATGGTGAGTTCAAACATTTTCAACCTGTTTATGTGTGTGTCTTTGTGTGGGGGAGCGTACGGTGTGTGTGTGTGTTTGTGTGGATAGTGTTCAGCACCAAGGACAGGCATGTTAATGTACGTTTGTGTGCGTATGTGTACGTGCATGTGTGTGTGCGTGTGTGTATGTGTATGTGTGTGTGTGTGTGTGTGTGTGTGTGTGTGTGTGTGTGTGTGTGTGTGTGTGTGTGTATGCGCGTGTGTGTGTGTGTCTGAGTGTGTGTGTGTGTGTATGCGTGTGTGTGTGTGTGTGTGTGTGTGTGTATGCGTGTATATGCGCGTGTGTGTGTTTGTGCGCGCGCATATGTATACACGTGCGCGTGCGTGCGTGAACAGTGTTCAGCACCAAGGACAGGCATGTTTGTGAGCATGTGTGTGTGTGTGTGTGCACGTGAGCGCGCACGTGTGTGTGCCTACATGTGTACGTGTGTGTGTCTGTGAAACAGCGTAATTCCTGATATAGATGGGGTGTTGATATTTGTACGTGTCAACCATTGTAGGAACGAGTCATTTACTTTGTACGAATCTTTAACAAAACTGCACACCCCCCTCCCCCAGGACATCCCCAACCGTCCTTTGAAGTGACCGTGTCCGGCCAGAAGGAAGTGGCGGAAGGTGCTGACGTAGAGATGACGTGTCACTGCGACGGCGCCGACTGCACCAACCCCGTATACGACTGGTTCAAGGTGTGTGTTTGTGTGGTTCTCCTTTCCTTACATCAAAAATCAAAAGAAAATTCGTTTTGCCATCTTACACGTTTTCCTCATTACCATCGGAACTGAAATGGAGTTTGTTGGCTACGAAGGACCAAAAGTACAGTTTTCGCAGACTCCGCAAACCCTCTACCAAGCTCTGCAGAGGAGATTGTACCTTTGGCCCTTCGTACTTGATGACTGACTACGATAACCACTTACTGCTTTGTGAAAAATTCAAATAAACAAATAAACAAATAGTGCTAGCCTCTACCAGGCTTCAGGCTACCAAGCGTCTTGAAAGGTAGTGACTGGGTGACTACCGGAAACTACACGCAGATCGCAGCCAAGGCTGACACCGGGCTGGGGCTTTTCGGGTTCGCTGATCCTGTGGTCAGCAAACAAACAAACAAACAAACAAACAAATTATGTTTCTGTTCTTGTAGGGTCCAGCCTTTGCCGGAAGTGACTGGGTGACCACCGGAAACTACACGCAGATCGCGGCCAAGGTGGACCTGAGCCTGCTAGGGTCAGCGCCTCTGGTGGAAATTGAGGACGGGTTCGGCCAGTTCAGCCTCACGCCCTCCAACTCTCTCTTGCTCACCGGGGCGCAGGTCAGCGACGCAGGAAGGTCAGTAAACACACAAACAAACAAACAAACAAGAAAACATTATCTTCGCGTTAATAGGTTTACGTCTTGCAACTACATGTACATGTACGACTGTCCCTATGGCTGACAGTGAGTGAGTGAGTGTGTGAGTGAGTGAGTGAGTGAGTGAGTGAGTGAGTGAGTGAGTGAGTGAGTGAGTGAGATTGAGGACGGGTTCGGCCAGTTCAGCCTCACGCCCTCCAACTCTCTCAAGCTCACCGGGGCTCAGGTCGCCGACGCAGGAAGGCTAGCAAGCAAGCAAACAAACAAACAAACAAACAAATTATGTTTCTCATCTTTGCGTAAATAGGTTCACGTATTACCCCTAAGGGTCTGAGTTACTAAGTGAGTGAGTGGATGAGTGAGTGAGTGAGTGAGTGAGTGTGTGAGTGAGTGAGTGAGTGAGTGAGTGAGTGAGTGAGTGAGTGAGTGAGTGAGTGAGTGAGTGAGTGAGTGAGTGAGTGTGTGAGTGAGTGAGTGAGTGAGTGAGTGTGTGAGTGAGAGAGTGAGTGAGTGAGATTGAGGACGGGTTCGGCCAGTTCAGCCTCACGCCCTCCAACTCTCTCCTACTCACCGGAGTACACGGAAACAAACAAGCAAACAAACATAATGTTTATTATCTTCATATAAGGAGGTTTCTTTGTCGGAGGTTGTGTTTTCAATATCTCTGTTTGTATGCTTGCTTGTGTTCCCGCAGTTTAATATTCCCACATGCCTCCACAGGTACTGGTGCAAGGTGACCAGCGGCGGGAACGTGGACATCAAGGCGACCGTGCTCAAGGTCAAAGGTATGCAGAGATTTCACAAAATATACACAACTACACATTCAGACAAAACAAAAGAAACTGGCGCAGAAGACTTCTTGGGCCCTTGTCGTCTTGCCAGACGATCTACAGCTTCAGTCATTCTCTGCGGGTCTGAAAGGGCAGCGCCTCTCGTGGCTGGTACAGCCGATTCTGGCCCGGCAGGCTCTGCCGCAGAATAGGCAGCAGTACTCCTGTGTGGTGCTATTCTCCTCTACGAGTTCCTTTCGTCTGTTCCTTGCATCTGCCTTCCTGCTCTCTCCCTGCACAGAAGTACTTTAGTAACAAAAGGTGTCTGAATGCCCTCCCCCTGCAGTTCCTGAGTTCACCTGTGAGGGCAGGGCTGACGGGTACTATCCTGACCCTGAAGACTGCGCCATGTACTACCAGTGCCTGACCGGCTTCCCGCAGCCAACACAATCACATAGATGTGCTTGAATGTTTTTGCCCCCCCCCCCTTCCCTTTGCAGTTCCGCAGTTCACCTGTGCTGGTAAGGCTACATAGATCTAGAGAACACAGGTACAGATTGACATAAACATATTTTTGAATAGTTTTGAATGTTTGTTCCTACCCCCTGCAGTTCCAGAGTTCACCTGTGAGGGCAGGGCTGACGGGTACTACCCTGACCCTGAAGACTGCGCCATGCCCATGTACTACCACTACCAGTGTCTGACCGGGTTCTCATAACCAACATAATCACCCCAAACTGAACAAAAACATAGATGTGTTTTAATATTTGCCCTTTCCCCTGCAGTTCCCGAGTTCACCTGTGAGGGCAGGGCTGACGGGTACTATCCCGACCCAGAAGACTGTGCCATGTACTACCAGTGTCTCACCGGGTTCCCACAACCAACATAATATTCAACCCAAACTGAACAAAACCAAAGATGTGTTTGAATGTTTTTTACAGTTCCCGAGTTCACCTGTGAGGGCAGGGCTGACGGGTACTACCCTGACCCTAAAGACTGCGCCATGTACTACCAGTGTCTCACCGGCTTCCTACAACCAACACAATCACATAGATGTGTTTGAATGTTTTTTGCAGTTCCTGAGTTCACCTGTGCCGGTAAGGCTGACGGGTACTACCCTGACCCTGAAGACTGCGCCATGTACTACCAGTGTCTGACCTGCTTCTCATAACCAACAGAATCAACCAAAACTGAACAAAACCATAGATTAAACCATGTTTAATATTTGCCCCTTCCCCTGTATGTGCAGTTCCAGAGTTCACCTGTGCTGGTAAGGCTGACGGGTACTATCCTGACCCTGAGGACTGCGCCATGTACTACCAGTGTCTGACCGGGTTCCCGCAGCCGTTCCACCGCCCGTGCGGGTACGCCGGCATGGTGTTCAACCCGGAGCATCTGTACTGCGACTGGGCCTTCAACGTGGGGCCGCCCTGCGGGGTAAGTACAACAATGACTAAGGCCCTAAGTTTTTCGTACGGTTGTCGTGCGAATGTCGTATACGATTGTCGTGCGATTGTTTTGCGATATTGTCGTGTGATTGTCGTACCCCGAGCATCTGTACTGCTACTGGGCCTTCAACGTGGGGCCGCCCTGCGGGGTAAGTACAACAATGACTAAGGCCCTAAGTTTTTCGTACGGTTGTCGCGCGAATGTCGTATACGATTGTCGTGCGATTGTTTTGCGATATTGTCGTGTGATTGTCGTACCCCGAGCATCTGTACTGCGACTGGGCCTTCAACGTGGGGCCGCCCTGCGGGGTAAGTACAACGATGGCGAGGTCATGTTTGTCGTGCGATTATCGTGCGAATGTCGTATACGATTGTCGTGTGATTGACGTACGATTGTTCTACGATTGTTCTACGATCCCATAACTAGGACAACAGTTTGTCTGCCCCCCTTAAACCCTGAGAATCTGTACTGCGACATGTGCCTTCAACGTGTTCTGAAGAAACCCACCACGGATGTGGTAACCGCGCAGTTACATGCTTCTTATCGTTATCTACTCAATACACACTGGCTTCAACATACTCAACTTACCGACGTGACATTTATTTTACAGAGCAAGGTGTAGACCAACGGCCCTTCGCCACCGACGTCACATATGGCTGACATCACCAACCACAGAGAAAACCATGAATCCAGTCAACGTTCAGATCACTCTTTTGCTCAGCTCCTGCAGTAGTTGTATTTAGATAAACACGCTTTGCCTCAATGACAACTGGTTTTGTGTGATTCAAATAAATCTGAAAAACTAAAATGGCAACAGTTTCTTTTGTACATCTTTACTCCGGAACGGTACGGAAGTATTGTTTTGGGTGGCTAATCTGTGACTTTGTGTGTGTGTGTGTCGCGGTCACTGTGTGCTCACTGTGTGTGTGTGTGTGTGTGCGTGTGAGTGTGTGTGAGTGAGTGTGTGAGAGAGAGAGAGAGAAAGAGGGAGGAAGAGAGAGAGAGAGAGAGAGAGATGTGGAGAGAAATGGGCCAAGGACGATATATGTAACATTAATCATTATGTACAACTGTATATCGTCCTTGGCACCTCTTTCATAACACAGTGTGAGATGCAATATATATCCCAGCGTTCTGAGAAGTGAGGGACTTTCCAATACTGTTTTCTCAGAATATTAATATACAGATACTCCATGTTGAGTACACGTGTGTTCCACTTTCTATCTATATGAATAGCGGGCCGTGTTGACTGGCCATGAAATGGACCATGTTTTAATTGAACAGTCTACAAAAACGACCAATACTTACATAAACACTCAAAAAAGGTGAAGGGAAGACTGTACGGTAACTTAACTTTCGGTTGACGTTCGGAACAGAGGGCCAACACTTGACTGAAGGTTAGACATTTCTAAACAACTTTTTAGTTAAGGTTTCAGGCTTCATTTGGCACTTTTTGAAACCAAATAACGAGGAAAAAAGAACAAGCATGTCGTCGGTTCTCTTACAGACCTTTTTTATTCAGCATACAATAAACAAAATAAGGGTACATGGCAAAGTGACGACGGGCTCAAGTGAGGTAACTTATGTTAGCGCCGCCACTTATACGAATAAAACTAATATTACTAAACAATGCAAAACACTGACCAAGAATACATGTAAAAAAATAACAAACAGTCGAATTGATGAAGCGAGAGTCCACATTCCCCACCTAAAAGATGAAAAGGACACAAATAGGTCTTACAGGCCTTGGCCCAGTTTACACGTCGAATATAGCGACATCGCCCATGCACGTCTCTTTTTCGTTGTGTGAAGGCGAATTTGATTTTCGAGAAAAAAATCTAGGCCAGGGTGTAACGTTCTTTATACATGCAAATTTACATATTTTGCAAGTATTTTTTCTCTATCCGGATACGATCTTTGGACAAGGAGGTTCAAACCTCTGCTGTGGGCAAACAATGTTTGAGGTATGACCTAAATATTTTGTGCTGTGTACACGTGAGGTATGTGTCACGCGGCCACCCAAGACTAATTCATTATATAATAAAACGTGGGACCTTGCTAGAGTCTCTATTCGTAAACAACCTATATACCGGTCATTCAATTACGCTGATCAGTCTGGCTTTGCAGATAAATTCAGTGCCTCGAAGACCAATCGACACTCACTCTACTCGCTTCACCAACCGCTCATACCTTTCCCTTGAAAGTGCAATGCTTCGCCATGATATTTTGTCTACTCAAAAAAGAAAGGCGACAGCATATTCACCAAAGAGCCAAGCTGTTCTGATACCAAACCGTCCGAAACCCAATTTTTCCCGCCTTGCTGCACCGGAGCTGTCCAGCTGACGTCACGGGGACGACTCCGTGCAAACCTCCGAGGGAATCCCCGCCAAGCCTCCCGGCACCAGGCCATCCAGCCAGGTAACAAGGCTCCGTTAACTTCGTGTCTCCCTGTTGCGGTCTCGTATCCGAACATATACGAGCCTCTTGAATACCGCAAGGGCAAGGAAAAGGCTACAGCTATTCCGTACACTCAGGTACTGTTTCATTTTTGTTACAAAAGCGCAACTGAATTGAGATACTTTGAAGCACAGGCATCGACTAAGTACTTCAAAAGTTAGAGTCAGTAAACTTAATAATAAGGCATCTGAATTATAAACGACAACAAAACAAAACAAAGATACTATACATGTACTTTTACAATTTGTCACAATCAAGTGAACAATTGCAAGACTTCGAAGGACAAAAAAAAGGCCTCAAAAGTAACCATAGACAGAATCTGTCCTGTGAGAACTGAACAGTTTTGAGAGTAGAAAAGACTGACTTGAAGAAACCATAATAGACAGAACCGGACTTTCGACAACTGAACATTTCTGAGACTATATTTCTTTGCGAAAGCTTATAAGTTGATAACCCATCTTCGCAATGAGTTCCAGAGTTCAAATTCTGTCCGTTTTTTGTATTCTGCTTGTCCTTGCCCTGTTCACGGCGTCGTCAGACCAGACTTGCTTTGCGGCGTGTGAGAAAAAAGAGTGGGCTTTCTGCATGCCCGAAGACAAAAACATATACGACATCGCATTGCTCACTAAATATCACGGCTACCATGAAACTGCGTGTCTTTCCTGTAACGGTCTGACGCATTCTTTTGAAGTTATGAATAGAACAGATGACTTGTGTCTTCACCAAGCAGTAGACTGGTTCGCTCTTAGAGCTTTTCGATACGGAAAACTGTCGTCAGAAAAACTCTCCGTTCTCAACTCTGGCTCGATGTGGGCTCTTTTTCTCATAGTTTCAGGAATAACCGAATTAGGCCACTCTGCATTCGAATCATTCACAAGCCTACGAAGGCTGTATCTTAATTACAACTTGTTAACACACGTCCCAAGACACCTCTTCGGCGTTTCGAAGCAGTCTAATCTCCAACAGCTTTCGTTATCTCATAACAACATCTCTAGTTTAGACCCTGGATGCTTTGAGAACATGAAGAGCCTTTCCGTATTAGATCTTCAGAGTAACGCATTGGTAGGGGTGCAGGGAAATTGGTTCACTGGGTTGAACCAATTAAAAACACTACTTCTAGGCGAAAACCAAATTTTAACGGTTCCACCCAACGCATTCGAGCATTTAAAAGGACTGCAATTTCTAGACCTAACCAACAATAACGTAGTATGTTTAGACAGGAATGCGGTGGGGAATAGCAAACTTAGCCAAGTCACACTCAGTGGTAAACATCTCCTGGTCTCCGGAGAATATGCCGCACGCAAAATGGCCTGGAAAATCGTGGTCCAAAGTTGTACTCTAAAAACAAAACAATGGATAGGGATAGAAGTCGGTGGCATGGTTCTACATATCAACTACGAAGTGCCGGACAAGTTTCATATTGAGTGGTTTAGTAGGTCAGTAGTCAGACGCCTGGTACCGCTTGCCACCGACGCATGTAAAATACTCCAGGAAAGCCTTGTGGGTGATGTGACGTTCGGTCCACCTTTCGTCATCTTAGCAAAGCAAGGAAAAAAAATCTCCCACGTTCCCTTTTCGACTCAGTGTTTGGAAGCGTGGCAAATGGGAGTTGGGATAGAGCTAGTGCTGAGAGGTGGGCACAGTCTCCGAGTGGCTGGTATTCAGGGCAGCGAGAAACCAGGTTCGCGTAGAGAAAAGGGTTTTAGTGTAGTGGTCGCTAGGCGACCATCGAAGGGGTCGCAAAGGGCGCCGGGTAATAAAGATGGCGGCAGAGAATTCGAACGTTCTGTTCGAAAATCGCCATGCCTCGCTCTCATTCGAAGTTCAAAACATGTTTCGGTTTTCAGGGCGCCCAAGTTACAAGACACAGACGATTCACATTGTATTCAGAAGGTCTTTAGCGATGGGAACGGTTTTGGTGAAAAAACAAATGTTATGAATGCATCTGTAGGAAAAATAACGCCCTCCTTTCCAAATGATGCAACCAAGAGTCAAGAAACGCAGAGCGGCAGAGTTGGGGCAACGACTGGAGGTTTTTCTCTCGTTCAGTCCGATACAACCTCCAGTGTAGACAGCGGTGGAAATGTTAACATCCCTGTCATTCTAGCCTATGTATTGACAGGCCCAATCATTGTGATGTTCTTTATTGCACTGTTTTGCTACTACCGAAAGAAATGTAGAAACGATCAAGACAGAGCCAAAGCAAACGATGCAGATTACGTCGAGATGAGATCGAGGGCTCTCCAGCCTCTCTCGAGTTTTCCTAGCGTCATCCAGAGTGCTGAAGTGCAGCAGTACGAACGCGACACGCTAGAGGCGCCCCGGACAACACAAAGCGCTCGCGAGAACCGGCGTGGCTCGGCGAGACCATCCTCCCACCCAGGAGCCTTGACAGCACACAACTACGAACAGATAGATGAAAATGAAGAGTACGACCCGTCAGGACACAACTACTGCGAAATAAAGGATGACGACGTCCCCGGGTTGCCTTTCTATGCCGCCACGGCCGTAGTAAAGTTACCTTCTCCTGTCTCTCGTGGCACCAACGCCCGTCTGTATGCGGCATCTCAATGCGCGGAGAAGCAGACCGCCGCTAGTGACCGACTGTATGAGTCGGCTAGCGACACTGAAACATTCGTGAAGCGGAAATACGGAGAAAACTTGTGTCAGAACGTTCACAGCAGACCGAGAGCACAGACCTTTTAACAAGATAGAAACCGCCCAACTTTCTAGCCTCCATAGCATCGATGCCAAAAACTAGGGCTTTTGGGGGTCTTCATGGTCTTTGGGATCTTTTTAAATATGTGCTATTTTCTGATTGCATATAGACAACAAAGCCGGCCTGCTTGAATTACCCCCGTTTTTTTTTTGAACTGGGCTAATCAGAAAACAGCCGAAGACCGCCAAATCAGCTCTCAGTCACCGGGCAACCGAAGCCCACGGCACAGCCACCCAAAACAAAACTTCCGTACCGGAAATAAAGTTGAGACTTGTACATACCTGCATCGTTGATGTTTCTTGTAACGTCATCAATGTAGTTGATTTTAAGCTTGCATCAATTGTATCATAATAACACGTTAATGTTTCATGTTAAGGTCGATCAACTATATGTATATCGTGTCGAAAACTGTTTAGTTCTTGTGTAAATGTGTATTTGGATAAGAATATTGTTAAGGGTGTCTTATTGTACCTTTAGATGTTTGTCACCATGATATCTTTACTTGAAAATTTTAGCATCTACAGGACTAGCTTTCCCGTTTTTTGTGTGCTTATAGGAGTATCCGTAATCCAGCGGATATTCAAAATGTTATAGTAGTGTTGACTTTGTATGGTATAAGAGCAGCTTGCTTGTTGTGTATAGTAGTAATCTATAATGTACAGTAAAGTTTACTGAACAACAATTGTACAACGTATGACATCTACTGCCACGAGACTAAGGTACCTTCTAAAACTAGTAATACTATGTAATATTGGATGACAATGTGCTTTTAGAATAGAAGTAATGTATGAGAAATATATCTCAAGCCTATTTAATAGAAATATTACAGCAAGGTTATTTTCATTTTCTATTTGTTTTTGTGTAATCTAACTGAGCTGTAATCTAATATCGATTAAGCACGAATAATAAATGTTATAGTCCCGTATATTTGATCGTCATTTTTTCATAAGAATCATTTCTTAAGTGTAGAATGTAAATCAAAGAAGGACGGGCCGTAATAATTCTTCAAATAAATGACTTCTGTGAGAAGAAAAAAGAAAGAAATTCGGTCAAGATAAAAAAAAACGTGGCGTTGGTCAGTCTAAAGATCGCCAGCGGCCGACTTAGCCTCTACCAGGCTTCGGGAGGCGGCTGGTAAGAGTAGAAATCGGCCAAATAGATAGATAGCATGCCAGGGGAGTTTGTCTGCTGGGAGAGAACATTTTGCCGCACCCGAAGCATGTTCTCTCCCACTAGACAGACTCCCCTGGCATGTTATCTCTCCATTTGGCCGATTTCCACTCTTTTCAGCCGCCTCCCGAAGGCTGGTAGAGGCTACGGCCGACTAAAAAAGGGCCATTGTTTCTAGGCCTACTGTCTCTATTGAACACATCGATTTCGCAACGTACGCGTCACGTTTAGTACTAAAATGCAAAACTTATGACATTTCCACGTCAGTGTCGTTCACCTTATGTATAACTGTTCAGTAAAAGACTTATATTTTTTTACTTATTCTTTTCTAGATAGAATTATTAGTCATATATTCATTTTTCATCCTTTCATTTGTTCATTCATTCATTCATTCACGCTCCTTAAGAAAAACACGAGATTGATTTCACATTATGCAAGTAATATTTATTGATATCGAGGGTGCTAGCATTGTACAAAGTGAACTAGATAACACAATGAACCAACACTACCTTTTTCTGTACAACATTCATACTACTAAAAAAAATTAGTTTGAATTAGTTCACATAGGCAGAAATCGATATTCAAATATTCAAAACACTATTCAGATTACTAGATCGTGAGTAAAAATAACTCAATAAGGATTCCCTATGTCGACCTGTGGTTTTCTGCTGTCTCTCTGACCAGAGTCTTAAACTTTTGGCCTCCTGTCATTCTACCAGTTCACCCACCCACGTGCTGTCAACCTACTCTGTCAACACAAATAGATACACAATTACACAGCTAAACCACTTAAAACAAGACGTCCATACATATCCGGAAGTAACTATACAATAGTACATAAATACGGTACCGGCTTAAATTATACCATGGAGTTAGCTCCATTATACGTGTTTTACCAGACTTCTCGGTTTTACATTACATAGCACAGGCTTCTCTTTCTGACAGCCTCTCTTTCCGGTCGGCGTTTCAGATTATATAATTACTGCCGTCACATACAAGCTATCGCTGTTTTTGTTTACATCATATACTTGTACATGCAAGTTATTTGAAGACATATGCAAATTATTCTTAGGATAATCAGCCAACAGTCACCCGTATTTTGCCTACCACACAGAGGACAACACAGTACTCATTTTCACCTGAGCGAAGTGCCTTTCCCAAGGGCACAAGATCGGTGCCATGGCAGGGTTCGAACCCGGAACCTCTTGGTTCCAAGACGAACACATTACGCCACACAACCACATACACCGAACTGTTTTATATTTTGACGTGTGGTAGTGGGCCTGGGCGAGCGGACAACACGCAATGCGCCACAGAGATACCAGGGAGCTCCCAAAGGTCTGGCTACCAGGCTAAGGTAGGTAAATGTCCGACGTACGATTTATTCTACCTTCTCGGCCAGCCATTCCATAAACTGACGGCTCTTGCTCGACAGACCGACTGGCATACACGCCCACCACCCCTACAGACGCTGCCGTTTCTGTGTCGACATTATAAAACGAAGCACCCGCGTCTTGTGAAGTGTTGCTGCTGCTCCCATAGTTCGTATTTTCGTCGCGACGCCTTCTGGTATCGTACGTGTGTTCGTAGGTTGGCAGGTTGTCCTCCATTCGCGAAGAACTGCTATGTGATACCTGTCCAGCTGTATGACCAGTGTCTTGTTCTGTATACGTACAGGGAGAGTGTACCACTTGTGTACTTTCATCACATGCATCCTCATCCCTTATTTCATAGTAGTCCTCTTCCTGATTTATTTCATCGTAGTTTGTCATAGCTTCACAAGAGGCATTGTTGTCGTAGATTTGAGACGCAGACTGTGTCTCTGTTGCAGGCGTTGCTTCAGCGTTTTGGTGGTGCACAACATTCTCTCGAAAACTTGACTGATTTCTAGGGCAATTTGGCTGAATGTCATTGAGATTTTGATTGCGATGTACTACCACATTTGTGCGGTCTTCGCGGGTAGAGTTTTCTGTGGAACGTGGGTTTGGGTATGGCAGAAGAACCACCGCCGAACTGGCTTCGTTTCTATCATTTTTATGTCTCATTCTGTGGCATACCCAAGCCACAAAACACATCACAATTAGTGCACCCGCCACGGAAGAGATTATTATTAGAGGAAGTCTAAAATTTGTACCACCAAGTTTACCTGTAGCGACAGTCGGCTTCGTTTGGGAGGATAACGGTACCTTAGATGTGGCTTCGACTGAGCTGTTTTGTAGTTCAGGGCTAAGCGTTACATACGATGCAAAGGAGGGCATTGCATTTTCTGTTCTTGTCACTCTGTTGACCGAAATATCCTGACTACTTTTTATTTGATTTATTTTTGTTACTGGGGTGAAATCCTCGCCGTACATAACTGAAGTCCTTCTCTGAGTGCATGCTGTGTCTACTTTCTGCGTTTTGGGTTCTTGAAAGAACGAAACGTCCTTGTTTTTCTGTATGAGCGTGAAGCAGGTAACGGTTGATAGTAGTGACTGTTCTTTGTCGCTATCTGTGTCCGAATCATTACCCGAATTACTAGCTGTTTTTGTCCAGGTATTTGCTACCACGCTCAGTCCTTCCTGTATGACACCTGTATCGGTACGTATTCCTACACTAGATACGCGGAGACTGGATGCACCTTTAAGCGCCAAACCTATACCCCCAGCCTCTTCCCATTCACCCAAACACTGATCTGAAGAAGTAGTAGACGACTTGTGCCCCCCTCCCCCACCATTGGTCGCTAAGATGACGAAAGGAGATTGGGCTTCAAAACGGCCGAGTCGATCCCGCGACTTTAGGCTTTCCAAGGCCGGAGTGCATAGTTCAGGAAAAAGGAGCTCCCCGTACAGTTTCTTGCTATATTTCGTATGACTTTCCGCATCGTCTGGTACCCTGTACCACTCAATAGAGAAGCTGTCTTCAGTGGTTTGGTAAGTGATATACAAAACCATGCTACCGTTTACATGTTCAATGCGTATCAACTGTGTAGTGCCTTGTGGACAGCTATCTAGTACTATATGCCATGCAGTGTTGTGTATAGTCTTCTCCCTTGGGATCACAAAATGAGTGCCACTGAGCAAGGCTCTACTAAAATTCCCTAGATACATAAGAGATTTCCTATCCAGACACACCAAATTATTGTCGTTCAGTTCTAGAAGCTCAAGTTGAGCTAAAGGCTCGAACGCGTTCCCAGAAATGGCTTCTATTGGGTTCTTACTTAGAATTAGTGATTTCAATTGGTTCAACCCCGCAAACCAGTCGTCATGTATTTGTAGGAAGGAGTTGTTTTGTAAGTCTAACGCTTCGAGACCGAGCAAGTTTTCAAAACATCCCGGAGCCAAAGTGGAGATTTCGTTGTGAGAGATTGAGAGCTGTTTGAGGTTTAACACTGGCGAAGTGCTGTACCAGTGCCTTGGAATGTGTGTTAACGCGTTATAGTCTAGATACAGACTCAGCAAGCAAGTAAAATCTTCGAAAATGGCGTCGGCCAGGCCGGTTATCCCTGTGTTCTGAAGGAAAAGGCTATTAAGAGAAGACTGGTGGATGGCGGACAGTTTTTGCGGGGACAGTGTTCCGTACCGAAGGCCTGTGAGAGCTAGCCATTGTACACCTTGAAAACATTTACCTTTCAGCCTGCTAACAACTTCTGGTGAATCTTGTTGTTCACCGACACATGAGATACATTCTGACTTATAGTAGTTGTGAAATCTGGTGAAAAGCATGTTCTTTATAAACATTTTGTTCTCCGGTAGGCAGAATGACCACTCTTTCTTCTCGCATTGTGAGAAACACGCCTGCTCTATGTCTGATAACGCGTTTGGGACAAGGGCGACTAGAGCGAACAATATGTGCAGAAATATCAGCCTCATTGCGAAGTCTTCTCAGTTTTCTTTCTTCGTTCCGTTAATATTTGAGAAGCCTTGTTTCTAATTCAAACTCTCAATATCTTTTTAAGTGGCTATTCCTCCTTGAAAGTGTCGTTGCGGTTTTGTAAAAAAAATGAAAAAATAGAACTTTTGTTGAATCGTTGAAAGTCTTTTTTCTTGCTTTTCCACAGAAATGTCTAGTTTTGGAAGAAAGATTGTGGATTCTGTCTATGGGTTTTTTTTGAAGCCGTTCTTTGTCCTTCAAAGTCCTGTTATTCAGTCGCTCATTTGTAGAAAGTTGTGACGAATTGCAAAAAGGTTTATTCTTGAGAAACTAAGTTTTTCCGTACCTTGCAGTTAGGCAAAAGGCTGATACAGTTTCAGATACTCGGCCGCGAGAGAGAGAGACAAGTTAACGGAGCCTTGTTACCTGGCTGGACGGCCTGATGCCGGGAGGCTTGGCGGGGATTCCCTCGGAGGTTTGCACGGAGTCGTCCCCGTGACGTCAGCTGGACAGGTTCGGCGAAAGGCGGGAAAAATCTGGGTTTCTGGCTGTTTGATATCAGCACAGCTTTGCTCTTTTGCGAATGGCCTGTTGATGCTATTTCTTGAACAGTTAGACTGAATAGAATAGAATAGAACAGAACAGAATAGAACAGAATATTATAGAATCGAACAAAATTCTAATCGAATCGAGTAGAATCAAGGAACGTTACATTACCAGAATAGAATAGAATAGAATAGAATAGAATAGAATAGAATAGAATAGAATAGAATAGAATAGAATAGAATAGAATAGAATAGAATAGAATAGTATAGAGTAGATGACAAGCCTTTCTTTCGAGCGTAGGATCTGTGTGGTCGAAATTGAAGCTGGCGAATTCGGTGCCCACCGGGCTTCCAGGCACTGAATTTATCTCTAGACACAGACTGATTAAATGTACTAACTGAAGGACAAGTGTAGATTGTTTGTTCATTATTTTGAACAAAAATAAAAAAAATGATTCAGACCTATGCAACAAGTGGCACGACACGTGTGTCGCGTTTGAGGCCAGCGAAAAAAACAAGGCAGGCAATAAAAATTATTGCTATGGCGACGATCGAATGTTTATGTAACGTCATGTGTTTTTTATATTTAAAAGATATGTACGGCATTTCAGTTTTCTCTTGCTACTTTTATTTTTGCTGTTTTATTTTGCTAAACCGAAATGATTCGTTTGTTTATAGAGCAGAGGCTTATAGGGTACTATTAGGCACGCTCCTTAAGCGTTGCCAAAAACGTACGTCGGCGACCGCCGGGTACGGCAAACTGTGCTCCTTTACAGCTTTAGCGGATCAAGTCTCCTGGCATGTTATCTGTAAATTTGGCCAATTTCTACTCTTTCCAACCGCTTCTGAAGCCTGGTGCATGTTGAGGCTAATCTTTTCAGTAAGTTTTTCTGACTACTGCCGTTCCTCGGTAACAACCTTATTAAATCCAAACCCGTAAAATCCACCGGCACGTGGAAGTGGGCCTGGGCGGGAGGGTAACACTCCCAGCACCCACCAGAAAGCTCCCGATGGTATGGCTACCATGCAGGCTAGTTTGCAGTGAATATCGTGGCGATTTAAAAAAATTCAAACTCAGACTAATTTGCTGGAAAGGACGTTTGCTCATAACAACTATCCAGAGACAATTTGCCGAGTTGAATGACCACTGAGTGATGTTTATTACACACCCACGTGTTGGCGAACAGTAAATTGAAAAAAACATGTCTTGATTAATTGGTCCCGAGCTAGTGACCACATCATCACATGTGCGCCACGTCTGTCCACAAAAGAGGACTAGGACACGTCTAAAAGTTCCCGAAAAAGTTTGCTGCTGCTGCTTGTGCAACGTTCCCTACCTCATCTTCCCATATATTTGGTTATATAGTCATATCATAGACTCTTTATCGAGCAAAAAAGGTCTGGGACTTGGATTGCATTCTCTGGGCACCACAAAAACTGGTGTGAGTGAACAAAAAAAGTTGCCTTCATCATAAGATCTAAGTGGTATAAGAAAGGCTGAACAAATGACTGAACACACAGAGCTTATGTTGGAACAAAGCTTGAACTTTACAATCATGTACAAACAAGGCATTTTCATCTATGTTCTTTCACATCTTCTTTGACTTTGGAAAACTTCGAGCAGGTTGCATGCGATTCGAGATCTGCTTCCCTTCCTCTGGCATCGTTTTTGTTATTTGCCAATACGAGTATAACTACATGTGTGCCTCAATACCTCAAATTCCTTGCTGACTCCCGGTCAGATTCTGAGACCAAGTGGCATCCACTTCTCGAAAAGTCACAGAAAAAAAGCAGTGGATGCTACTTGAAGCATCTGGAAGTTTTCAAATCCAATCCCGTTCTTAAGTAAATGTTTTCTTGTGTATTGAAAGATGACCTGTTTAGCGGTCAGTGACTCCTTCAGTACGAACCGGCCATGTGAAGCCTGTTGTTCTACAGGGGCCCTTGTGGACACGTGGACATTAATGTGCGTATCTAATTTTGTAAATGAAAAAAAAATGTTTTTCTTATTATTACATTCGCACATCCAATTTACGCCTACGCTGCGTGTATATGATTGACAGAAACACGTGGATTCTTCTCTCCAAGCAGAGGTTTGGACTTCGGCCTATTTTCGATGTGTTTTGGGGTGTTTTCATCATCGGGCTTTCTTTTTGCACTGGTATCTTTTATTTTACGAATCGTGATTTCAGAAAATGTTTATTTTCCAAATTTGGTTAAGTATAAAGTTAACAATTAAGCTATAAAACAATATTAGCAATATCAGAGTAAACAGCCCTTTCATACACGTATACACACAAAATACGTAACAGTCAATAGTTAAGATATGGAGAACAATAGCATAGAAAACACACTTTCCACTAGAATAGAGTCTGTGACCGAACAAATGACATTATCTGTCTATTCGCGATCGGTCAATTTTTACTCTTTCCATCCACCTCTGAAGACTGGTAGAGGCTATGAGGTTAGATTATGTGCGATGTAGATTTTTTAACCTCCTTGTTGGAGGCGAGGAAAAGATCAGGGTCAATATATATTAATACAACAAGATTCAGGTTACATGATTGAAGTCTTTAAAAATCCATAATATATTGTCCTAATGTTATTTATTCATTTATCTATGTCAATTTTCCACACCGTGGAAGGCATGATGGAACAGGTTGATCAAGTTAGTTGATATATAATTATAATTAGTCATACCAAGCCGTTATAAGGCACCATCTGCCCACTAGTAAATTCTAAACGGCTCTAGAATTCTCATGAAATCACTACCAACAGTTACTTCGGCTTCAATGCATTGAGTTTCAGCCAGGATTCTGCAGCTCACATTTTATCCTTAGTCTCCGCTGCTAGACTAAAAGTGTCGTATTAAAACTGTGTTACAATAAAATTCAGCCAAATAAAAAAAAAGTAAGGAGAATAACAATTGACCAGGGGAGTTTGAAATGAAACTCTAACATTGGATCCACTTCCTTAGCCAGTCAGACCCAATTTATGCCGAATTCTACCATCCTAATTTCCTTAGGAAGGCCTGGCGGAGGCTATTTTACCTACAACTGGACGCTAATAAACAAACTCGACGCTGTCCACACTTCTCTGCACCTCACTCCGTCTCCGCTAGCTAGCGCTCTCCCTCTGCCACGCCCTCCCTGAGGTGCACCTCACTCCGTATCCGCTAGCAGGCGCTCTCCCTCTGCCACGCCCTCCCTGAGGTGCGCGCACATGAAGGTGTAGGTCGCTGACCACGCAGTCTTCACTTCCGGGGTGAACTTCCCGTCCAGAACTCTCGGCAGCGCTTTCATCAAGACCGGCCCGAGCGCCTAACGGGAAACAGACGGACAACAAACACCATAGAATACTTTGTAGTAAGCGGTTGCCTAGAAGTTGTGGGTATTTTTAGACTATTTTTCCTTGCAATAAACCCTCGGACGAGAGCATGCAGTCAATGAGCAATTCCATGGGATCGGTAAAATCTGGAACGAATATGAAAGTTTTTGCTTACGTCGAAAATGTCTGGTTGCACGTTGTATTTGGCCTTCTCAGGTCGTACAATACTTTACGGTACCCGAAAAGGGTTCTGCTTATATAAATACATCCAGACTAAATCCCTCTTGCTTTAAAATTGCAAGATGATGTAACCCAACACCAGTTACCATGGTGACAGACGTCTGGTTCAGGTCCTTTTTGTTTGGAGAAGAAGAAGAGGAAACAGGGCAAAAACAATATGTTTTCCGGCAAACATAAAAATGTTTCTACTTACGTCGAAGAGCTCGGGTTGTACGCCGTGCTTGGCGTGAGTCTTCCCGAGGTCGTACAGAGGTCGGTATTACAACAAGTTACAACAACTTTTTGAATTCCTCCATATACAGTTCACCTATCCCCCATCCGGTGAGTACTGGGTCACCTTCATGCCTTGACCTGCATGTCAATCATCTGTCAAAATCATCTTCCACCCACCATGCATATGCAACTGACAGAGACACAAATCCTCGACCCAGGTCACCCCCAAACAATACTTTACGACAGTAACAAGACAAAAATGATCTGCTTACGTCGAAGAGTTCCGGTTGTACGCCGTGCTTGGCGTGAGTCTTGCCGAGGTCGTACAGAAGTTGTCGAAGGTCGGCAGGCTCGTCCAGCGTGTCCATGAAGGTGGCGAAGCTGTGCATGAACCGCACCATGTGCGCACGCGCGGACACGTTCCTCTCGAACTCCCCCGGCGCCTCAAGGTCAACGTCCGCCATGTTCTTGAACAGAGACCTCGTGTCGGGGTGGTCTGTGAACAATCTGCAAGAGAAAGAAAAAGAGGATCCCGTGTGACATGTTATATCTTATATACATGTATATTAATATTAGAAGAAGACTGAGTGATTCCGGAACAGAGACTTCGTGCTGGGGTGGTCTGTGGACAATCTGCAAGGGAGAGAAGATCGGGGACGGGGGGTGTTATAGACTTCCAACAACCTTTGACCCATTGCTGACGTCACAAAGCCATGTTCCGGAACAGAGATCTCGTGTCGGGGTGGTCTGTGAACAATCTGGAAAGGAAAAAGAAGATCAGGGACGGGGGGTGATATAGACTTCCAATAACCTTTGACCGAGTGCTGACGTCACTTGCAATTATTGTGACTGAGTGGTTCTTGAACAGAGACCTCGTGTCGGGGTGGTCTGTGAACAATCTGCAGGGGACAAAACCGAGACGGGGGGTGATATAGATTTTCACGTCACTAGTGCAAAAAGCCATGTTCTTGAACAGAGACCTCGTGTCGGGGTGGTCTGTGAACAATCTGCAGGGGGAAAAGAAGATCCGGGACGGGGGGTGTTATAGACTTCCAACAACCTTTGACCGAGTGCTGACGTCACTTGCAATTGTGACTGAGTGGTTCTTGAACAGCGACTTCGTGTCGGGGTGGTCTGTGAACAATCTGGAAAGGAAAAGAAGAAGATCTGGTATCAATGATCGGGACGGGGGTTGATATAGATTCCAACGACCTTTGACTCTTTGACCCCAACTGTAAAATCAAGGAGGTCAAAATAGGAACGTTTTTAAAATGGAGTGTCGTAAGTTATGATAGATGGGTAATAGTCGGTGTAAAGTTATCGTTCAAAGTGAATATACATTTTGTGTACAATTGCAATGATTAAGTAATAGTGTTTAAGTAATTAACCGTTATTGTGTATACAGGATATACGATGTCGATGTCGGCGCTTACATCCTGAAGATGGTGAAACAGTTTTCTCTCTTGTTCTTGTAGATGATCGCCCAGGTGTCCCGGATGAGCTGGACCTGATTGGCCGTGAGACCTGTGACGTCATCGGGCGTGTCATCGGCCGGTTTCCCCCACCAGGAGCCCATGGTGACGTATCAGGTTACAGCTGTTCTGAAACATGATATCTGTAGTTTAGGAATTGAGGAACGGTTAGGGGCAAAGTGAATAGACAAACTACTAGTACCTGTCAGTTGTTGTTGGAGACTTAACTTACTTAAACAGTCTATACCTGATAATCGATACGTTTTTATGATGTATTTTATCGCTAAGGCCATGTTGATTTGATTATATGGATGACATCCTCTGGGAGCCCCAAAACTGATGCGCGCGTGCGAATAAAAAAAAAAGTTTTGTCAAAAAAAAGT